ATGTCTAGAAAGTTTAAATTTTAAAAAGTTAACTGCCTAATTGCTTCCGGAATTGGGGAAAGCATTTCTGTCTGCAGCCATCCCTGGCCATAAGGTGTTTTCCATAGAACAACAGGAAGCTGCCAAGGTGACTATTTAAAATTAGGTAACAAAGACATTTATGTATGCACTAACAATGTGAGTTTCTCATTTACCTGCCTTGCCCTGCCATCGTTTCCCTTTTTGCTGTTCCAAAAATTTCATGCTGGGCTTCGGCACCGAGGCCCTTTCCCTGAAATGCTGATTTTTCAAGGTTGAGTTGAAAAGACAAGAGTCGACTTTACGTCTCTGCAGTTTCTCTCCTTAGTAATTTTCCTTCTTTTTGCCAGGAGAGCTACCAGAATAAGGGGATGCTTTAATTAAGGTCTGATTGGCTTTTTTGGCCTGAGGTATAAATAAAGAGTGATATCATAACGATGTGCCTGGACTTGTTTGCTTTTTCTTCTATTTATCATGCTTTTTCTCAGTGCTGATGGTGCGTTGCGAGGATTTGTGGATTTTGCATGGTGTGGGTGGAATGCCTTAGCCTCTTTTTCTTCGGTGGCTTCCCAGAATTTGGTGGACCTCCTGGTGGGGATCAGAAGCCATGAGACACCTTTCCTGGCTGGGGCGTTGTTGAGTGATATCTTCAAAGGTGTTAATAAGCTTTACATCTGAATTCCTTCCGCAGTGACTCTCATGCCATAACGCTTGGGAGAAGCAGGTGACACAGTCACTTCCGAATTTGGGTGCCATGAGTGGGTTCGGTTAGGGTTGCCGCTGAAATCCAGAGTGAGTCAGCTGAGTTTCCACCAGGTTGCAAAATCCAGTTGCAAGGGGACGTGGGTGTGCTCAGAAGGGTGTGTCAACCCTCTGAGGTAGTCCAGACTGGGAAACTGACATCATGAAGGCTACTTTGATTGTAAGGATGGAAGAACAGAACTTTGCAAGGCTGAAAGAGCTTCCATTCCCCCCATCCGCCCCCCCCCCCCCCACCTTTCTTTTCCTTCTCAGACAACTTGGGAAGGTCATTTGAGGCTTTCTCAAATTACGCTTCTGGGTTGGGTTCAGATTTGGTTTTATCAGGTGGTTCTCTGGGCTGTCACTCTCGCAGCCCTTTCCATCTCCTTCCTGGAACGGATGTCAGATGTTCAGGGTTGGCTGGGTCCTGTCCCTTATTTAGTCATTCAAGATTATCCTTGATTTTGCAGAAGTACGTGAAATCTTAAGGAAATAGAAACCTTCAAATAAGTGAACACTTTAGGGAAGCTGGAGTATTGCTCGGTGGTGTTCAAGTGTTATTTGAGTTGGGGGAAACCTTTCTAATCAGGAAGGTGGAGAGAAGAAAGGAGAAAAGAAGGGAGAAAGAAAAGGAGAAGGAGAAGAAGCAAGGAGGAGGAGAAGGAAAGAAAAGAAAAGAAGGGAGAAAGAAGAATGGAAAGGGAAGGAGAAGGAAGCAATGAAGAAGGAGAAAGCAGAAGGAAAGGGAAGGAAGGGAAGGGAGAAAAGATGAGAAGGAAAAAGAAAAAGGAGAAAGAATAAATGAAGGGAGAAAGGAGAAGGAAAGAGAAGGAAAAGGAGAAAAAGGAAGGAGAAGAAGGAGAAGGAAGAAGGGAAGGAGAAAGGAGGAGAAGGATGTTTATTGCACTTAATGACCATTCCAGGAACAAAAATGATCCTCAGCAGAGACACTGGATCCCACAATCTTTCCTGGCAGATCGGACAGAATCCCTGGAATAGTCCACCTTTGAGGATCCTGCTGTGACCCCCCTTTTTGTAGCCCCTGGCCTGGGGTGATTCGGGAGGGTGGAAAACGGGGAAGGGGAGCCGATGGGAAGGGCAGAGGGATTGGTGTCTTTGCTGCTTTGGCAGGGTGGTGACCGTCGTCCTGGTGGCGGTGAGTGTGGTGTGGCTGCCCATCCTGCAGACCTCCAACAGTGGTCAACTCTTCATCTACATTCAGTCGGTCACCAGCTACCTGGCCCCTCCCGTCACCGCCGTCTTTCTCCTGGCTGTCTTTTGGAAGAGAGCCAACGAGCAGGTGACTCCGTGTGTGTGTGTGTAGGTGGGTGGGTGTGCATGCCTTCAAGAGTGCCAAGCCTCTGGCTGGAGAGGCGAAACCAATCCATGCAGCAATTTGCACACCTGGCCAGTGTACAAAACCATCAGCCCCAGTTCAGGAGAGCCTTGTGGTGTGTGGGATGGTTGTTAGGGGAGGCTGGCCTTGGAGAGGATGGTGGCTGTGCTTGGCTCACCTGGATTTAGAGCGAAAGGTGCATGAACCCCAATGAATGACTCTTCCCGTAGCTGTCAGCGTTCCAGAAAAAAACCCAACTCCAATTAAAAACTCCGAGGCAAGCATTTTGTCAAAGTTCCATTTATTAGACTAGGTAAACTGGCACATCTGGGAAAACCCAAATCTGAGAGGTCCGGGTTTTCTCTCAGTAAATCAAAAAACCCCAAAACCATCCCCTCAGTCCTCAGTTGATCCCATGCCCCAATCACCATCCGTCCCGTCTTGAGACCTCACTCCCACCACTCCTTCTCCAGATGCAGGGTCGCCCCGGCCTTGACCGCCAGGAAGAATGCTATTCTGTCTACAGGCAACCCCTCTACTAAATCCCCCCTCCTCCTTTCCCACACAGGAGAAGGTGGCAGCATGGAAGCTTCCGGCCTCATATGGCTTCCAAAGCTGACAGTAGCCTTGGTCGGGGAATGCTGGCTGGGGAATTCTGGGAGCTGAAGTCCACAAGTCTTAACATTGCCGAAGTGGGACACCCCTAGTCTAGGCCAGGGGTCTCCAACCTTGGCAACTTTAAGACCTGTGGACTTCAACTCCCAGCTTCACTGGCTGAGGAATTCTGGAAGTTGAAGTCCACAGGTCTCCAAGGTTGGAGACTCCCGGTGTAGAGGGTCTTGGATTTCTTGTGCAGGGGGCCTTTTGGGGCCTGATGGTGGGGCTGGCAGTGGGGCTGAGCCGGATGGTCTTGGAGTTTGCCTACCCCGTCCCCCGCTGTGGCGTCCTGGACCATCGACCTTCGGTTATGAGGGACCTGCATTACCTCCACGTCGCTCCCCTGCTGTGTCTCCTGACTGCGGGCATCGTGGTGGGCATCAGCTGCCTGACGCCGCCCCCGTCTGAAGCCCAGGTGAGTACAGGAAGATGGGATGGCGGAGCCCGTGGAGGGCAAGAAAGCTGGGGGCATCCGTGGAGGTGCCCCATGGAGCCTGAGGGCCAGATCTTCTCCCTTGGGGTTCTCTTGAGGGCCAGGAAGGACTGAGTTAGTGGCAGAGCATTTGGGGGCAGGGAGGGGACTTGGGGGCTACATCTGGTCCCACCGCTCGGAGGGGGAGAGGCAAACTTGCTCTCCAGGCTGGATCCATGCCTGATGCTCCGTCAGCTGACTCAGAGAAGGGCTTGGTTATGTCTCTGGCTGAGCTGAAACCACAACTGAGAAGCCGCGTGGCTGGGGACGCTGAGCTTCAGAGCTTTCGACCGGCCACGCCACGGCTGAGCGCGATGAGTGAGCCTCCCCGGCATTCCTGCGCTGGCGGGAGGGAGACAGGGGTGAACCTGCCCCTCCCATGAGTGAGTCCGCTCCCCCTTCCCCGCCTTCGAAACAACCACCTCCCCAAACAATGCGGCCTTTTGCACAGAGGAGTTCTGGGAATCCACTCTGGGTCCTCTTTTGGGAACCAGCACTGGGTCTGGGGGCTTTTGTGCTCAACGGGAGAGGCAGGCTGGGCTTTTGTCTCTTGGCTTTGAGGAGGGAAAATAGGAGTAAGTGGAAGAGGCTATCAGAAGGAGGTTCTCAGGTGGGAACTGATTTCTTTCCCCTAAAACAGCCCTCCTCTTATTGCCCCAGGCAAGATCCAGCCTACAAGTTGGAAGGGAAAGGAAAGGGAGAGGGAGAGGAAAGGAAGGGAAGGGAAAGGAAAGGGGAAAGGAAAGAGGGGAGAGGGGAGGAGAGGAAGTAAATGGATGAAGAAGGGCGGAGAGAGAGGGAAGGAAAGGGAAAGGAAAGGAAGGGAAGGGAAGGATCCATGTTTTATCAGCTGCCACAATTCCATTTTTCTGTTTTGGAAACCTTTGCAGATAAAGGACGTGACTTGGTGGACTCGACGGTCCCTGGAGGTGCCTTCATCTGCCCATCTCTCCGGACCCCCGACCCTGCCTGGCACGGAGAAAGACGGTGGGTCTCTGGGGCAGGGGCCAAACTTCTCTTTGCATCCCAGAGTTGATGCCAAACCAGGCAGTTCTCCTCTGAGGACGAAGACAAAAAAAGTAGGAGCAGTGGTGGACTCAGCCTCCCAGGGACAGAAAGTGACCATCTTTCACTTTGGGGGGGAGGGCACCCAAAGGCCATCCAGTCCCCCCCCCCAGGGCTGAAGGAGGGGAAAGAGAGACAGAGACACCTGCATGTGCCCGGCAGGTTTGCAAACCCGTGTTTCCCAGTCCATGGCAAGCAGGAGGCAAACCTCTTGATTGTTCTCCTTGGTGTTCCTCCTCTAAGGTGGACTGCTACTGCACATGGAGGTTAGGTGGCAATTATGTCTGGGTAGAGGGCCATCTCTGGGCACCTTAATTTTTACTGTAGGCTTCTCCTTCTCTCCCTGCCAGCTGCCCCAGGAATCCTCCAGCCGAGGTCCTTCTGCACTGAGAGAGATGCTGAAGGTGCCCCAGGGAAGGGTGGCCGGAGCGAGCAGAGGACAGCTGGCTTCTGGTCCCAGGTCTGCTCAGCCAACGCCGTGATCCTCATCTGCATCAACCTCTTTTTCTACGCTTACTTCGCTTGAAAGAGTTCCTTTGGGGTGGAGGCAAGAAGGGTGAAATCAAAGGAAGGGAAGGGTTTGTGTTCCATATGGACTTAAAAGGGGGTTTATGGCTGCTTTTCAATCGATTTCAGCCTTGGGGTTCTTGGCAAAGCGAAGGGACTTTTGGAAAAAGGATCTGGAGGAGGGATATGGAACATTTCTCCAAAGGGGGTTTAAATGGAAAACTTTATTTCACTAGGAGAATTGTTTTCTAGGAATAAAAGAAATGACTTGGGGGCAGGAGAGAGTTCTGAGCAGCAAGGAGTTTGTAGGTCCTGGTTGCCACTTTACCCGCTGAGAACTCAACGCCTTTTCAAGTAGTGGCACAGAAGATAAAACCCAATAAATCACTTTTTGAAACGTGTGTCTCTGGCAGAGAAGAGCAGCTTAGGAAGATGAGAGCCGCTGTCCCATCTCCTTGGAGGGCCCCTGGGGTGGTCTGAAGGTCACTTAAGAGGCTGTGTGGTGGCCGGTCCCCAGCAAGGGAGTCCCACCAGGTGGAAAACAGTTCCAGCCCTACGCAGTCCTTTGGGAGACGCTTTGGGAGTACCTCTGCAGGGAGCTGAGCAAACACCCGAATTAGGGCAGGTCTCATAAAGATTAGGAGGGCAGCAGAAGGTCAAGGAGGGGTCCGGTGGACTTTGTGACCTGCTGGATGATTATCAGCGCCTTCATTCCTTGCCCTTGGCAGCTGACCAAGAGGGCTGCGGAGCAGAGAGAGCTGGATTGGACAGCAAAATGCTGAGGAAAGGCTTAGAAAGAGAAAGAAGCAGGAGGGAAATTCCCCATCTGCTTCCTGAGTCTATAGGTCCACTGGTGGGAATCACTTTGGCATCCGTAGGATCACTTTGGAGGCTCTTCGCCAAGGTGTGAAATCAAAACTCAGCCAGTCACCCAGACATGTCTGAAGATTTGCAGAAAATCTTCTGCAGCAGTCAAGAGGGGCTCTAAGACCAGGGCAACCGGGGTGGGGGGGTGGGAGGGGGCCGGTATCCAGAGCAGTCTTCCTCAACCTTGGTCACTCTTAAGACTTCAACTCCCAGAATTCCCCAGCCAGCATGCTTCCCAGGGTATCTCTAGGAGGGACCTCTGCCCTGGAAGTTTGCGGTCCATGCATCTTGTCAAGGGATGCTAGGAACTGTAGTTTTTTCCCCCTTACAAATGTGGGGTGGTAGGAATTTATGACGAATTGTCTCAACACCAGCCCCAGCGGATCAGATTTCTCCCTGTAGGTCGTTCCAGCGCGTAAATTCAGAAAAGGCTTCTAGCTCTTTGAAAGCATCAGGTGGCAGGACTATAAGGCAGTTTTGAACAAGGGTTGATTTAGGATGGCGCTTTGATTGAAGCTGGATTGCAGTTTTACTGCTAGAAATATATTGTTTTATAAAGCAAAATAATTAGAAATCTCCAGAGGTTTGTTTGGGCTCCAGGTGAGTGATGGGGATCGGTCTGCAAAGAATTTCAACCAGCAATGAGCCCCAAAGTTTCAGCTTTCGAACGGCCGTCCCAGGTGTGCAATGGGCCTCTTTTAAGGTCGCAGTGTGAAAATGGAAAGTTTTGCCTGGTTCAGGTTGAGGGCGAGTCAAAGCATCGATTGAGAAGAAAAGGTTTAGATGGGACGGCTGATCCCTTCCGCCAGCCGAGTGAGCCAGGCAGGTCACTTGCGCAGGGGGAAAACGTAGTTCCGAGGAAAAAGGCCCATCTTCACCCCCAGCTTTCCTCTCCACCAGTGGGGGTCAGAGCAGTCCAGAATCTTGAGGATGTCCCCTCTGCTGAAGCTCAGCTGCGAGGGGTTCTCGGCCAAGAAGTCGAACTGGGCTTGGACGAAGGTTGGCTTCTTGGGCTGTGGGGAAAAGAGGTGAAAAGAAATGTGGGGTCTTGTTAGCAATTCCCTCCTCCCCCCTTTTGTCCCAGCTCTATGGTTGACGTGGGGTGAGAGATGAGATGGTGGTTCTTTCTCAGAATGAGAGGTTGGATCATTCAGTGAGACAGAAGATTTGGGACGTCTTTGTCCACCTCATCTAAATTTGATTGTTAGAAACTCCCAAGGCAAGATGTTCTCCAAGGTCAGCCTTGGCTAGATGGACAGTGGGAGCCCAGGAGATCAAGAGAGGCTTCAGAAGAGGCCATCTTCTAAATGAAGGGGTGCAGTTCCAAGTAGCCCTTGATGTATCAACCACTTGTTTAGTGACTGCTCACAGTTAACAACAGGATAGGAAAAAAGCAAGGGGAAGCTGGGTGGTTCCTTACCTCCTCGGTTTCTCCATGGTCTCTGAGGAAGACCTGCCTCTTCTTAGCGATGGTGGTGGTTCGGTAAAAGTCCACCAGTTCATTGATGGAGTTGAACTTCTCCTCCCAGAGATGGTACTTGCCCTTTTTTTCCCGGAGGACTTTGAAGTGCAGCACTTGGTCTCCGTAACTAGGAGAGAAGCAGAGGATGAAGTTTAGGGGTGGGGAGAAGAGGAGAACGGGGTGCTTGGAGGACAGCTGGGCATTTTGGTGATGGGTTGGGCTTCTTCTATGGAGCAGAGGTTGACTTGATGGCCTCAATGGCCCTCCAGGTTGATGGTTCTAGGAATTTAATCTCATGGACCCATCATGGAGGAAGAAGTAGGATGACCTTACTTATCAGGCATCTACCGGACAGACTGGATAACAACAAAGTGTCCCATGCCCATGAGACTGGACAACCATTTGTCTGAAATGATAAAGGATCTCCTGTTTGACCAGAGAGTTGGACTAGAAGATCTGCCAGAATAACTCTGTTATTCTGTCTTGCTAAGCTATTTAGATGCCTGCATCTATTTTGTACCTACTTTTATCATTTTATTTAAAGTCTGTTTGCCACAGGATGGAGGCACCTTGGCACAAATGAGCGCTTCGGCCTCTCAGTGGGAACCTGGATCAAAGCTCTCCCACCTGAGGTTCCTTCTCCTGAGGACTTGAGGCTTCCTTTAAACCAAGAAAAGAGAGGAATAAGAGCGATTTGCCTGCAGGCTGACTTCTGAAGCTCCTGCTGAGCCCCACGGCCTTGACTCACAAAAAGCACACCCAACTTGCTTGCCGACCTTCCCCAGTTCTCAGTAGGAGATGTGAGGTGGACAAGCAGGTGGGGTTGATAACACTCGGTGTTGTGTGTCTGATATAGCTGCAAAATGCCTCAGTTCCAGCTAAGTAACTGCTGCGTTTGGTTTGCTTGGGGCAAAATAACAGTTGACTGTCACAGACCAAAAAATCTCTGGAGATGATGGAGAACTGGTGCCTTTGATGATGGTCTCCTACGTTGCGAGGGTTAAACCCAGTATTTTCCAAAGGTGGCAACTTTAAGAGGGGTGGACTTTAACTCCCAGGGTTCCACACCAAGCCATACTGGCTGGGGAATCCTGGGAGTTGAAGTCCACCTCTCTTAAAGTTGCCACCTTTGAAAAATACTGAGTTGAATTGTCAGAGGCCAGAAACTTTGGGCAATTTCTGCTTCTGAATGTTCATGGAAGTCCCAAATCGCCTTCCAACCTCCAAAAGAAACTTTTATTTGGCTATTTAGCTGCCCAGCTGGGCTGTCCCCTGCTTGCAAGTTGCTTTTTCTTGAAAGTCCCATCCTTCGCAATTCCAGCACTTGGGTTAAGCCATAATTATACCCTGTTCTCATCACTCTGCCTTATAAGCTTTCGGCTGCTGAAACAGGAGAGACACAAAGCTGATATAAACACACAGAGGCGACGGGAAACAGCTTGGCTTTCACAGCTCCTGTGTCAAGTGACAACTTGCATCCACAAAATCACAGATTAAACTTCCCAGGGAGTCTGAACGATGTTTTGATTTGGGCAATGTGCCAGGAAGCGTATTTCTTGGCTCTGGGTGCCCATGCCTGAAGTGCCCACCTTCCTGGGAGGAGAAGGAAAGAACAACCTGGAGACGGGGCAACAGGTGTTGTGTCATTGTGGATGCGATGGTTGGAGGGATGTGCCCTGCTAGGGAGGGCAGGGAGCAATTCAGAAAGCTTTGGGGGCTGGTTTGAAGAAAACCCCACCGTAGGAGAAGAAAAATGTAGTGTCGAATTATAAGCTGCCCAGATGGGATGGGCAGCTATAGAAATTGGATGGATGGATGGATTTGTTCAAGATGGGTTTGGGCCAACCTCAAGAGGAGGGAAGCCCACCTCCCTTCATTTGGACATTTGGGAAGGGGACACAGCTCCTTTTCAGGCAGAAAATGCCATATTCCACCCTGATCATGCTGGCTAAAGAGATCCTAAATTACAACAGTTGGGTAAAACACCTTCTCAGGTTTTGGAGACCCACCATGTGGAGGAAGAATCACATGGGACTGCAGAAGAGGCCACTTTGCCTGTCATCCTATGTCGATCTCCTCAGCCCACTGCTCTTCTGACATTTTGGGAATGTAGCCCTCTTAATTCTCAGCCCTGCTGACCACAGGAAAGCCAGCATGTTGGGCAGGAGAAGGAATCTTACTCAGAAAAATCCCTTTCTGGATCATGCGAAAGTGGCAGAAGATACCATGTAAAGCTGCTTCCTGCCCTTGGTAGTCCTTCAAAAGCCACCTGCCTATTTTCTGCTGCAGAGATGTCCTTTCTACGCCTTCCTAGCCCTGCTGATCAAAACTGCACCCCTTGATCCTAAACTAGGAAAAATGATAAAATTAGATAGCAACCACGGCTTAATTTTGGTGGAGAACTCAAAGCAAGTTTAAGCCCTGTGGTTTTCCAAGTTGGGAGGATGTGATGCCTGTTGACATCTCTTAGAAAGCGGCACCAGGATGGAGTCACACAAGAAGGCAAAGGTTGGCCTGACTTTGCAGGTTCTGGAGCACCTTTGGTAAAACCGGTCTGTTCCTCTGGTCTAAGCAAGGGAGGAGACCTCTGGCTTGGAACAGGACCTACTTTGTCCCTTTCTCCTAGAAGGGCAGGTCCAGCACTTCTTCTGGAACAGGGCAGGGACAATAAGGCTTGTAGGTGATGAGATCTCAGCACATCGATGTGTTTTGGATCCTGGGTTTTTACAGCCCTTTGGCCTTGCAAATCCACCCAGGGTGACTCTACCATTTCAGCCATATAATTGAGGGCATGAAGGAAGCATCTTTTCATTGCTCTCTCTGGAAACACAACTCCCTTGTTAATCTAGGACAAATCATCCCGGCCTCTTCCACAAGCTCAGCTCGGTTTTCTTGCCCTCCCTCTGAACAGGACACACAAGGGCAGGCAAGACACCTGGGCCTCTCACCTGTGGCGTTTTGGAAACACACCTAGGAACTATTCAATCACTTGGAAAGAGGGATAAGAAGGGGGACCCCTTCCAGTTCAGAGCCTTGGTTCCCAAACACCAGGAGAGGCTTGCTGGATGCCTCCCATGAAATGACTTTGCACATCTGGCTCAGCTGGAAATCTTGGTGTGCAAACCACTGTGCCCGTTCGTCAATAAGCGAAGCCAGATTTGCTTAATGACTACATCATTCCCTTAACAACCCCAGTGATCTGCATAATGGCAAAAACCATCGTAAAATTGGACATGATTCTTTTAACCACTTGCCTTGCTTAGCAACAGAAATTCTGGTTCCCAGCTATGGTCATAAGTCAAGAACTATTTGAATTTAGGTCAGGGGCCTCCAAACTTGGCAACTTTTAAGACTTGTGGACTTCATCTCCCAGCCAGGAAAGCAAAGCTGGCTGGGGAATTCTGGGAGTTGAAGTCCACAAGTCTTAAAGTTGCCAAGTTTGGCGGCCCCTGATTTAAATCTTGAAAGTCCCATCCTTCGCAATTCCAGCACTTGGGTTAAGCCATAATTATACCCTGTTCTCATCGCTCTGCCTTATAAGCTTTCGGCTGCTGAAACAGGAGCGACACAAAGCTGATATAAACACACAGAGGCACCACCCCATTAGCAGCATGGAAGACTCAAAGCAAAGTGTGAATTCTTGGAGTTGTGGCCTCAGTGCCTCTAAAGAATGCTGGCTGGCGGGGGGAGGGGTTGGAGAGGGGCCTGATTGAGGTCCTTCAAGAATGTGCAACTGTGTACAAAGTCAAGCAATTCCCTTAGCCTGATGTGCCTGGTCTGTTCACCCTCCAGGGAAGGAGGGAGAGCAGAATGGAGGCCTCTGCTGCATCAGGAAGGGCTGCCCATCCCGAGTTAGAAACGGGGTAAATCCTGCAGGCGGCCAAGTGGCAAAATGGGCTCCAGACGCCTCTGAGAATTGTGCTCCGGGAGAGCTGAAGCACACCCAGGTAAATAAAGGAGAGGTCAGTCCTGTCATGTTTAACGGATAGCTTTGGGGCTTGTTGCTACAAGTTTCTAGTCCCTTGGAAGTAAAGGAGGTGCTGTGAAGTCTCTTCTCGGTCACGTTTGAACATGGCAAGGAGAAAGGAAGAAAATGCCCGGATTTGATTTTGAATACAAAATGGGTTGAGAGGAGAGGAAAGTGCCAGTCACATTTTCCCCCCAGGGTTTCTCTCCCTAATGGGTTGCCCTTGGCACAGAAAACTTGCTGGGTGGTTGGCATGCCAGGCTCTGCACATCAGTCTGAACATGAATCTGAATTGTGTCCTCTCGCCACCCTTCCTCCCTTCCTCCCGGGCATCTCCTTCAGCAAAGCAACGTTGTTTGGAAAGTGGCATTGTTGCCTGCCTGGTTTGTGCCAAGATGGTCATGGCAGGCGTGGGAGGGAGCGAGAAGGGGCTGAGAACCCCTCCAGATGTGCATGGATGAGGACCATGGCCTTCCCCAACTTGTCACCTCCAGATGGGTTGCAGAACAAAGCGATGGGAGCCCCAAAGAGAGGGAAGAAGGGGGCTGAATGACCTCAAGCAGCTCAGAGCAGCCTTTCTAACTTTGGTGACTTTAAGACGGGTGGACTTCAACTCCCAGAAGTCCCCAGCCATTTAAGACCGGTGGACTACCAGTAGAAGCAAAAGTACCTGCTGTTGAATAGCCAATTAAGATTACTGCAGAAGTGGAAATACGCTTTGCACTAGTAGGAATCCTCAGTTATTTATTTTAATTGCTCGCTCATTTCCCAAAGCTGGGAAATTGCCTCCTTCCAAGCGCCCTGGGCATTTCTTTTCCTGGAAAAGCCGCTTTGGCTGTTTCCCGGTGTGCTGAGAGCACCCTCTGGTGCTCTGAGCTGCAGCCGACGGCAAGAGTTGGGCAAAGCAGGAGTGTCCTCAGGGTTCTGCTGACAGGCGTTTTGTTCCTTCCAACACGGGTGTGTACTCACAGCAGAGGGACCCACACTCGCCTCCCCCCAGCAACAAGGCACTTACTTCACAGAGATGGAGAAATCCCCTGGGCTGCTTTCGCTCTGCCGGATGAGAAACGCGCCCCGGAACCGTTGTTTGAGGAGGGCCTTTTCGGCACCTTGCCGGGAGATTTTGCCACAATACCACCTGGAAGGTCAGAGGCAGGAGATGGAATTAGGGGCGAGAAGCAGCAAGTCAAGGTTCCCAACTTATAAAACGCGACAGCCACTGAGGTTGCAAAGAAAGTTTCAGTTCCACTTGTCGCTCCAGAGCGCGTGGGGGCTCACGAATGCAGCCAACTCTGGCCTGTCACTCTTGGTTTATTTTTGACTCTGCAAGAACGAGAGTGGATTGCTTTGCTCGAGCTCTTTCGATGAGAACTGGAACTAAACTCTCTTTATTATAGGATCTACCACGTTTGAAACACCCTTTGTGCCTAACCCTGCAAACGTCGCTCATGGTCGGGATTCTCAGGACCGCTCCCTAGGGACAACTGCTTGACAGCTGAGGCCAGGTGGGGAAAAAGGCACCGTGTCCCAAAGGGGGAATTAATAAGGATGAAGAAAATCCCTGGTGTGGCAAGAGATTCTGGTCAGAGATTAGGCAGCCTCTTAATCAAAGCTCCCTAAGCAGAACAGCACCCAACCCCAGTCTGGGGCAAGTCTAGCATCACCATCTATTCACATGGTAGCAGTCTTCCAATATTGGAGGGGCTGCCACGAAGAAGAGGGAGGGGGTCAACCTATTCCCCAAAGCCCCTGAAGGCAGGACAAGAAGAAACGGATGGAAACTAATCAAGGAGAGATTCAACCTAGAACTGAGGAGAAATTTCCTGCCGGCGAGAACAGGGAATCAGTGGAAGGAGTTGCCTCCAGACCTTGTGGGGGCTCCAACACTGGAGGTTTTTAAGAAGAGACCGGACAGCCATTTGTCCGGAATGGTATAAGGCAGGGGTGTTCAACCATGGAAACTTTAAGACTTGTGGACTTCAACTCCCAGAATCCCCCAGCCAGCCAGGGTCTCCTGCTTGAGAAGGGGGGTTGGACTAGAAGAGCTCCAAGGTCCCTTCCATCGCTGTTCTTCTGTTATTCCTTCTCTCAGGAGTCTGTTTTGCAAGGCAACGCATGGCTGAAGCTCAGCTCCGTTTCCCCTCCCACCCCTCCCATTTGAATATTGAAATAGGGGGTTGGGTGGGGAGAGAAAACGAAGACATGTCAACCACAGCCCTGTAATAATTCTATCCAATCTATGGGTTGGTCTTGCAATTGTCCATCGATCTTGCAAAGGGTTGGGTGCTTTGGGTTTCGTGTGGGGCCAACTGTGACCCAGAAGCTGCATTAAAGGCTTCTGGCATCATTGATCTGGCTGGAATTGATCTTGATGGGATTAAACCAACAAAATCATGGGTGCTCCATCCCTGGAGGCTTTTAAAAAGAGACTGGACAGACACTTGTCTGAGATTGTATAGGCTCTCCTGCTTAAGCTGAGTTTCTTCGTCTTGTCCAAGGGGGAAAGAAAAGGCTACTCACGGATAAGGTTTCATTTTGATGTAGTTTTTGGGGACGAATCCCTCCAGGCCCAAAAGCTCTGCTTTGTACCAGTTCTGGTCCTCTTCCATGTTCAGAATCTGTGGACTCAAAAGGACGAATAAGCAAACATCGGGCTGAAGCTGTGTGTGTGTGGTGGTGGTGATGGGGGAAAGTGGCAGAAGGCTGCCGAGGGGGTGGGTTGTAGTTGAGGAGGGGAGAAGATCTTGTCATGGAGGAAGCCCAGGGGAATATTTAAAGTTCAAGGATAGATTATTTTCCTGAAGCTCAGGGGCCCAAGGATGCAGTCAAAATGGCTCTGAGACACTTTTTAGAAACACAGAATATTCTGTACAAAAGCATGATTAATAATGCTTTTCTCAGTTTGGGAATTTAAGCAAGGTGGATCAGAACTATATCCGCTCTCTTTCTTCCTGTCTGTCTGTCTCTCTCTCTCTCTCTATCCCCCTCTATTTCTCTCTATATTTATCCATCTATCATCTATCACCTACCCATCTCTCTCTCTCTCTCCTCCATTTCTCACTATATCTGTCTGTCTGTCTGTCTATCTCCATCCATCCATCCATCCATCCATCCATCCATCCATCCATCCATCCATCATCTCCCTCTCTGAACCTGCTTCAGATGGCCAATTTTGTTCAGCTGTCCAAATGGATCTGATTTTTGTATATTTATTGCAGAACAAATGCAGCTGGGGTTTGATCTGTCAACAGCCCTGACTGCCCCCCACCCCCACCCCCAAGTTACCTTCAGCGTGTCTCCCTTCTTAAAGGCTAATTCATCCTTCTCAGATGCCTGGAAGTTATACAAAGCAAGGGCCTCCATGTTGGGGCTGGTCCAGAGCGAGACCTCAAAGGCGCCCCTTCTCCAGCCCAGCTGGCCCAACTTGGTTCTCCAACGAAGGCCCCTCGAAAAAGCCAGCCAGAGGTTTCTTTTGAGAAGTTCCAGGCTGAGTTTCCTTCCGTCCCCCGTGTACAGCAGCACCCCAAAGTTTTGCTTCCAGCCACAGGTCAGGAGGTAGTTTGGGGCCAGAAAAAGAAAAGGGGAAAAAAAATCTGTGCGTAAAAATGAGACAGGAAATATATTTGAATATATTTGCTGGAGGGGCGTGCAAGTGTGTGGGGAACAAAGAAGCTGCACCTGCAGAAAGCAACCTCACAGCGGGGAATTCCTCCTCTCCTCCCAGGGGGCTTCAGCGCAAGGTTTCCTGCCCCCTGCACTGCTCGCACTCAAGGCAGGCGCGTCTGCTCGAACCCATCACCAGCTTCTAAAAGGCGAAAACAACTTATTTTTTTTCCTGGCCAAAGCCACGAACCCAAGCGAGCCTCTTTCCCCTTCAGCTGGCTCCTGTTGCTTTTCTAGGTGATAAAACACACACACACACACACAATCATTTGCTGAGTTTGTGTAGTGGATGCAAAAGGCGAGGCCAGAAGGTTTCGGTTCTGGTTTTTTTAGGGTTCTGCCCCAAAGCTGGATTTTCTCACTGTCTTGCCATCTTTCCCAATGGATTTGCAGGGAGATTATTCCACCCTCTGGTCAGGAGTCTGGGGGTCAGTGGCCCTGCGCCCCAACCGTACCAGTTGCCCAAACATCTGCACAAATCCTTCTAAAATGGCTCATTTGGCCACAAGGTGGCGAGAGGGCCTTGGACAATCTTCTGCCTACCAAGATGCTTGACGTGGGCGTGGTCAACTCAATGTCATGCACATTGAGGGGTGCCTCACTGGACTCTACTCACCCCTCCCCTCCCAATCACTCCTTGCCTCCCCCCCCGCCCCGGCCTCTTTAGGGCCCCAACAGGAAGCAGTTGCTGGAACTAAGCAGCCACCACGAGAAAGAGCAAAACAGCTGGCTCAGTTCAAATTGGAGGCTCAACAGAAACACCTCACTGAGGACTAGGAGCATAGGCTTTCCAAGCAGAGGGAAGACCTGCAGGAGTGCAAGGCCAGGTACAGGCGCCTGGAGGCTCAGCGGACTGAGATGGTCAGCCAGTTCCAGGCCATGATGCAGTCCCACTGGAACGAGGCCCTCCGACTCTTTGCCACCAGCAGTGTTTTCCTCCAGCCTTCGCCCAAAGCCCCACACCAGGAAGCTGAAGCAGACCCCAAGTCGGAATTTCTGTCCCCCTCCAACCCACACAAGAAGACCCCGAAGGAGGAGAGACTCTGCAGCAACACAAACGTTCATTGCACGTATCTGGCCCAGGAGTCGTAGTTTAAGGACCCCTGATTTAGTGCAACATAAAAAATGCAAATAATTTTTCTGTGGACCACCAAAATTTTCTCATGGACCACCAGTTGGTGCCCGCTGTTCTAGTCCAACCCCCTGCTCAAGGAGGAGACCCTGTTCCATTTCAGACAGATCACTGTCCAGTCTCTTCTTTAAAACCTCCAGTGATGGAGCACCTACAACTTCTGGAGGCAAGTCGTTCCACTGGTTCCTTGTCCTTGTTAATTGAGAGGAAGTTTCTCCTTCATTCCAGATTGCCTCTCTCCTTGTTTAGTTTCCATCTGTTGTTCCTTGTCTTGCCTTCTGGTGCAAATTGCCCCAGCCCAATGCATTCTGCATTCTGGGGAGCACAGAAAATGCTAAAAGTCCCCATCTGCCACTCCCTTGACAGAACAGGAGTGGGTCCAGGGCTGGGGGGTGGAGATGGAGGGGGGGGAGGAGAGAGAGAGAGAGAGGGAGGGGGGGGGGGGGAGAGTTCATTTTTCCTGGCTGACCTCATTTCAAAGGCTACAGGATGTGCATGAAGCAAACAGCCCTGACCTCTCCCTGGGGCATCCGCAGCATGAGTGACACCTCCAACTTTGCTCTGCCATCAGCCTTTTAACTGGGTTTGGGTCGGGTTATTGAGCACGAAGGGAGTTGCCTAGGCAGACAGATGTGCGGGGGGAGGCACACCCAGTCCCTGGGGTCTCCTTGTGCACAACTGGGGAGGGGAGCTGCATCTGTGTTGCTCTGGCCTTTTGTTCCAAGGCGCCATCTTTTCCCTTCTGGCTGGGAAGCATGGTGCGCGGGGTTCTTGGAGGCAAAAGGTGATGACGGGCAAAGGAGCTTTGCCAGGCCAAATGGGGCGGGCATCCCTTAGCATCCCATAGATGCCCTTGGCCTCTCGTTTGGCAGATGCCAGGACCATGGAGGGATGCAGCTCAGAATAATTTTCCTTAATCCCCCTTAAACCTTTTGGCTTCCTCTGAGCAGGTTGGTGAGTTTCCTGGTTCTTCCTTGCCTGGAAAAATAAGATTCCCAGGTTGGCTGTGCTCACCTCACCCTTAAGCTGGTGGATGAATTAATCCCTGGTCTGGGCTCCCGATAGGCTCGCTTTTTAAAGGTTGCTGGTTATTTATATGAGAATATCTGCAAACTGCCCCAGCCCACTGCATTCTGGGCAGCGCAGGATAGGCACAGCACCGTCAAAGTACCCAGCTGACTGACTCCGAGTGCTGGCCGATGCCCACCGAGCTTAGCATGCTGTGCAAAGGCACCCACTGTTCTTTCTCCTCCCTCCCCATCAGTCTGGCGAAGCAGATTGTGTGAACGCAGCTGGCGGGTGGGTGGCAGGATCTGCAGCCTGGCGTTCCAGTTTCAAAGGAAAACCAGGAACGAATCAGGGAACGGAGAGCCCTTTCCAAGCCTCTCCTCCAGAGGCGGAGAAAAATATCCACAGGCTTTTACTGGATCTAAGCTCAGTGCAAGATCTAGTTTGCCCTGCATGACAGCCCTGCGAGGCAGGCTGAGCTGAAAGAGAGTAAATGGCTCAAAGTCTCTAGGGGGTTGCATGCAGGGGTGCTATTCAGCAGGTTCTGACAGGTTCTGAGGAACCGGTAGCGGAAATTTTGAGTAGTTTGGAGAACCGGCAAATACCACCTCTGACTAGCCCCCGAGTGGGGTGGGAATGGAGATTTTGCAGTATCCTTCCCCTGCCACGCCCACCAAGCCACACCACCTCCACCAAGTCACGCCCATAGAACTGGTAGTAAAAAAAATTGAATTCCACCACTGGTTGCATGACTAAGAGTTAACCAGAATCTGTATCAGTCCAACATCTTAACCAAAGCACCCACAGGCTCTCTATTTTTTCCAAACAATTTATTACTTCTATTTAGGTATTTGATTTTTTTTTTGGCTGGTGAGTGACAGCTCCGGCAACAGCCCCACCCTGGGACAGGCAGGACCGAGATTCCAGTTCTGAAGGCTGCTTTTCTTCAGTTCCCACCGGTGTCTTGCAGAGTTGCCGAATGTTTCCTGGCTGCCCTCAGACCCATCAAGTGCAGTCATGCTATTTTTTTTTAAATTATTTTTTACTGCTTCCTTTGCTTTTCCTGATCTGGTGGAAAAAGCCTGTTTGGCCGAGCATTGGAGGAATGTGATTCCAACGGTGCAAAGGGATGTAGAAATAGGGGAGAGGAAGTGGGAGAGGGGGACCCAGCCCCCCCCGAGATTCCTTGGGAAGTTCTGGGGTGCTGCACATAGCCACGTCCTCCAGAGAAAAGCGGCATATAAATTGAACTGATAAATAAATAAATGTCCTGCAGGTGAGAGCATCGGAACGATGCTTCATCTGGGGAGTGTGTCTCAGCATCCGGTCCCCTCAGAACCGGCTCTTCCTGCATGAACACTGGCAGACTTCCAGGAGCCCCATGTGGGATCCAACATCCCCACTTGAAAATATGCGGAGCCCAGGAAGCAGAGGCAGAGGGGTGATTAGCTGGTGTCCCAGCCCTTCATTAAAATGCTCCAGGCTTCCTTGGTGTGCAGGGGGGGGGGGAATCCTCAGGAAGGGGGAGCTGGGGGTGGAGAGGGAGGGGTTGCCTATTCCTCTGTTCCAAAGCTCCTGTGGATAATTGGGGGATTGGGGGAGGGCATGGAGTAGAGGGGAGCCCCTTTTTGGAAGGAAGGCAACTGTGCAGACCAATGATGCTTCCTGTTTTTCAGACTCAATCCAGCAGGGAAGGTCTGTCTCCAGAAGGGCTTCCTTCAAGGATCAGTGACTTTCCTGAAACCTCAGCAGCTTTAAGACTTGTGGACTTCAACTCCCAGGATTCCCCGGCTGGCCTGCTGGCCTGGGGATTCTGGGAATTCGAATCCACCCATGGTGGCTGGGGAATTCTGGGAGTTGAAGTCCACATGTCTTAAAATAGCCACAGCAGAGAAATGTTACTCTGAGCACAAGGGGAACCAGCTAAGGATCACCCTTGAAAAGGGAACCCCTGGATCTGAATCGATCCACAGAGAACTAAAGAGGATGAAGATGATCCAACTGGATTAGCCTTCCTTGATATTTTCGGAAGACGGGAGGAAGGTCCGGCTGTATCTGAGCCAGCACAGGGGCTCTTGAGGCCCCCAACGCCTGGCATTGGCCCAAGGAGATCACAGTCACAGTTGGTGCCAGGACTGAAAGCACCCAGCAGTGTGTAAAATATAAAAAACAAGCCAAGCTCACTGGGATTTGTCTTCTCTTCAAAGGGAGATGTGGTCTTTGCTTCCTGAGCTTCCGAAAGTAATCATCTACTGCAGAAGAGAGGCCTTCCCTCTTCCTCCTCCTCCTCCATTAACCACTGGTTCCTCCAGGTGTTGGGAGGAAGAGGCAGCAGCTGGGCATTTTCATGGAATAGCAGAAGAATGCAGCAGGGTGCCAATTAGTATAAATTACTACTTGCCTGTCTTGCTTGGAATGGAAATACCCAATCAAACCAATCTCTCTCTCTCTCCTCCTCTCTCTCTCTCTCTCTCTCTCTCTCCCCTCTCAGCAAGCCACCCAACACCCAGGAGAAAGCATAATCTTTTGGGAGCATAGAAAGCCTTCTGAAGATTTTCCCCTCCTCATCCTGCTACACACAGAAAATCCTCAGAAACCCACCATTTTTTTTTTGCTTTTCCATTTTCAAATGTCGGGTTAGCTGCATGTTTGGTCCTATTGTACCAACAGCCGGTCTAAAGAGGGGGCTTCCTTGAAATTAGGGCAACAGGCACATGTAAAATTAAGACTCCGGTTTGCAAATGAACCTTTCCTTACGTTTATTTTGACTCTAACCTGGGCATCTGTTCTGCTGTGCTCCATTTCCTATCCTGAGGTCCGATTTTGCAGTTCTGACACAACCCTTTGTTCTAGTGATCTCTTTAATGACTCTGAGAGCTGGGGGAGGGGGCTGTGAGTGTGTGTGTGTGTTTTCCAGTCAGACCTTCTAAGACAGAACCCACTGAGATTTGGAGGCTGAACTGCACACGAGCCAGAGCCTGGCAGCCACCTACTAAGATTCAACCTCAGGGATGGAGGGAGAAGACGTGATGTGCCAGAGGTTGGGCCGTGTTTGCTAAGAAACGAATCAAATGAAAGATATTTATTTCCGATTCTGCCTCCATCGCTGTGCCTGCGTGAATGTGCGCATAGGGCTGGCTTGGCAGAGATGCAAGTTTAACACCCGTGAATAAAATCGGACGTCCAATACATTTACCTCTGGGTGGGAAGACGCCGTTTCCTCCCCACCCAAGGGCTCCTGCGGGTGATGGTTGTTCAGCCCAGCGGGATGGGTTGGCTTTGGGGGCGCAATGCTCTTGAAAGGGGCTTTGCCTCGGGAAAAGAGCAGAGCCCTGGTCCCGCTCTTGGCATCCCACCCACCAAGGAAGGAGCCCCCGAGGGAGACCTTTCAGGCAAAGAAACCAGCAATTCCAGGCAGGTCCTGAAGGCTGGTCCATCAGACTGAGGTGCTCCTTGGGGGGAAGAGGGAGAGATGCGTTAACTTGGCCGTGCAACCCCCTCTTGGCTTCCTTTCAGCCGACCCTGTGGGTGGGGCAATTCTCCCACCGGGCTGGGCGACGTCTGCGAGTGGAAACCTCCAAGCTCGGAAAACCCGGGTTGAAAAGAGGCATCGAGCCACAGCGCATCCCTGGGCAGCTTTTGCAACCCTTCCCATCGCTTCCGTCTCTCTTAACTCTCGGGCCGTTTAAGGATGGCAACCCATGCCTGGGCGGGGTGGGTGGGGGAAGGAGCGCTGCAGCCATGCATCCCTGCATGCACGCGCGCACGGCTGCTTTCCAGCAGTTAGAATCCCCCTCCCCACCCCGCCGCACGCTCTCCACGGTGCTGCATGCCAGCAGGCTGCGAAGGCGCATGCGCGGACTCCCGGGCTCCTCGGCAGCCAGGGCGCCTGCGCAAGACGGGGGTGTCTCTCTCTCTCTCTCTCTCTCTCTCTCTCTCTCTCTCTCTCTCTCTCTCTCTCTCTCTCTCTCTCTCTCTCCCCGGCTGCGCGCACGCCCTCACGTGGGCACGCCGGCCGGGCGGGAGCGCGCCCCCTCCTCCTCCTCCTCCTCTCCCTCCCCCTCCCTCGGCGGGGCCGCCATGTTGGATGGCGCGTGTGGGCGGCGGGTGTCGAAGGCGGCGGCGGCGGCCGCCGGAGCCCGGAGCCCAGCAACGCCCGCCGGCAGCAGGTGGGAGACGGCGAGCAGGGCGGGCGGGGCGGCGCTGGGGCCTGGGGAGGGGGCGGCGCGGGCAGCCCCGGAGGCTCTTTCGGGGGAGGGTCGCCCAGGGGGGTCTCTGGCTCCCCTCTCTGCTCCCCGAGACGCAGCCCCCCCCCGTTTGAAAGGACCCCCCCCTCACACGACCCTGGCCTGCCCCGGGGGGTTGGGAGAAGGCGGGGGGAGGGAGGGAGGGAGGGAAGGGGGCTTCCTCTGGCGCCCCCACCCCACCCCACCCATTGGCGGGGGGGTCTCTATGGGTGGGGAGGGGGGTTCCACCCCATGGGGACCACGTGGGGGGGCTTGCTTTTAAGGGTGGGGGGTCTTATTCCGTCTTCCTTTGAGGGCAAAGGGGAAGAAAGGGGTTTATTTTGAAGGGTGGGGGGCCAAAGGAGGGGCCCGTGGGGTCAACCCTGCCTTGGCTAGACCCTCTGACCCCCCCTTCCCCATTTCACCCCCTCCCCCTCTGGGTAAAAGATGCTCCCTGCACAACAAAGACAGCCCCTCCCCACCTTTGGAATGGCTTTGCATTGGGGGGGTTCTAAAGGAGGGGTTGAGCCCCCCCTTATTTTGTAAACCCCCCCCTTTTATTTTTTGCTTTCCTTGCTGTTTTCCCCAACTATTCATGGCTGGTGCAGATGGAGGGCCATTCATCAACCTATCCTGATGGGAGGGAGGACATTTCCTTTAAATTCCTTTTTAATTTTTTTTGGTAGCGAGGAATTTCATGCAGCTTTTCTGCCTTTGATTCGAAGCCAGACCCTCCCCAAAGCTTGTGGCCTTTCCTCAGAATTAGGGTTAGGAGGAAAGCTGCGGCCAGATTGTTCCCCATTAGTGTTGTGGGTTTTTCGTGGGTGTGTCTTGCACTTGGAAGTGGATGGAGCGTCAGTGTGAAAAAGGGACCAAAGTTGTGCGATTACCTAAAATGGAAAGAATTTGGGGTGGTGGGGGGATGGGGGGCGCAAAAGGGAAGAAGGCCGGTGTTTGAGCTGAATATCCTGAAGATGTCGGGGTAAATCAAGGGGTCGGGTTGAGTTATGGAAGCTGCTCTGCATGTCTAGGAGATGTTTGTCTTTATATCTGAAAAAACACACACACAGGGTGGAGAATGGCCTAAGGTGTGGTGTGGGTGACACAACCGAGATTCCTGAGAGTCTCTGCCTTCTCTTTCCTCCAAATCCGGAATCAGATTTGAAATGCAGACGGCGAAAGGCCCCGTACTTCAGACACGTTGCTGGAATGGTGAATTTGTGCAGTCTTTGGGAGCTGCACTCGGAGTGTGTGTGTACCGGGACTGTATTTTGTGCTGGGTGGATGCGTCTTTGTGAAGGAGTCATTCTGAAAGGATGTGTACCGCAGGTCAGATCCTAACACCCTGAATTTTCTCTGTCCTTTTTTGTTATTTTCATTTGTGGTTATTTTAATTCATGGCAGTGAAGTCTGGTGATGGTGGCTTTCTTTTGTGTCATCCAAGGTTGTTCCAGCAATCCCAGAGCAGTTAGTAGCAGGAAAATAAATTTTCTCCTTCTGCCTTGTCAATTGGAATCAAAATTGTCAGAAAGGAGAGATCTCTTCAGTGATTTTCCAGCTGTTTTTCTATCATTCTCTGTTGCATTGTGCACATCAGCAGATCATAATTTCTTTCTGAATCGTTTGTTCTGCCCTGGGAAATGTTCTGGGTTCTCTACCAAATTATTGAATTTTAAAACACTTTATTAGAAGTCTGTGTAGTTTGGGAGATATTTGAATGTCATATAACTATGAGTTTAACATTTTAATACATAAGGACCTGTAGTGATGAAATTTGGTTTGTTCCCTGTTGTAGAGCAGCGCAATTGAGAAAATGTGTTTATGCCAATATTAAAAAAAGTGGCTGATTGCAATTAAGAGGTAATTTCCAGGGCAGTTTTGGTTATAGATGCATTGGGTACAGTAACCTTCTTTGACTTGGTGCCTTTTAAGAGTGTTGGAACCAAGTAAAGATGAAATAGTAAATCAGCTCCAAGTGATTTCGTGGAGACACACCTAACTTCTTAGATATGTAGGTTCTGCTGTTCTGGGGTTTATTTTGTTTGATATTTCTTGTGGTCTCCCATCCAAATATTAATTGTGTTCTTCTGGCGCTGCTCAGCCTTTGGAGATTAGCTAAGAATTTCCGCTGATAGTGCTGGAATTTTGTGAGTTGTTGGCCTCTCGTTTCTGGAGGTGTTGTGTTGAAGAAGGCTGGTTGTAAGTTGGACCGGCATGCTGGTACAGAGCTTGTGAAATCTGTGCAATAGGGTTATGATTGGAGTTTCCTTGATTCTCCTTCCTTCCCTTTTTTCCTTAAAAAAAAAAAGAAAGTCAAATGATTGACTCTAACACGGAGGCTTAGGATAACCTCATTGAACAGGAGCGTGTGCCCTTTTTGTGCACAGAAGTAAGGAGTCTTAATATGCATGAACTGGCTCTACGTCACTGAGAGGTGTTCAGTTGTAACTTGAATCCATGGAAGCTTACCTGGGAGTAAATTATACTGAGATATGTGAGGCATAGTCAGCCAAGCATGAGATTAAATTTATGTAGCTCCTGAACAGCCCCACGGAGAGTGTCAAAATACTTCTGCGGGTAGGAAAGGCTGATTATGTTTAGGGATTGACTCTGCAATGCACACTTCAGGGTTGTTGCAGTGGAAATGTGCGGTGATTATTTTGTCTGGCAGGTGTAGCAGCTTCTACCCTAGGTTAAAATACATTACAAAAAATCATCGTGACATTTCGTCGATACGGGTTAGCTGTATTTTATCATTGGAGAAAGGTAAACACATTGCCACATAATTGGAATATATATATATATATATATCATTAACAGACTTTCTACTCAGAATTAAGCCCCACTGAGTTTGGAGGAGGTAAATTGCCACATAAGCAGTCTTCAGATTCCTTTTATTTGTTCTGATGGTAACAGACATCTTGCAAGTAAGTTTCATGGGGAAGAATAGTGCCATTTGCCAGGGATCAAATAAACCAGTCTAACTACACGACATGAATTTTCAAGTCTTGACTTGAAATAATGAGTATTTTGGTTTGTCTGCAGCTTTCTAGAGTGATATATAACACATGTGATATATATTTATTGGCATACGTACATGCTATATATTACATTTAGTTCCCAGCCAATATGGCCAAAGACCATGTTTGCTATGAACTGTGTATCTTATACTGTATCACATCCAGTCTGGATCTTAGTCGCAGGGCTGAGAAGCTAGCTGGCACTTCTGTGCAGGGCTATAAGGCAGCCTGTGTTCTTGCTGTCAATTTCGTTTGAACTCGCTGTTATTTCATTTGCCGTTTAACTTATTCATCTTTTGTTTTTAATTTTTAATTCGTTGCAGCATAAATGTGATACAAATACAATATGGGAAAGCTGTGAGTCTGGTGGTTTGGAGCTTCCCTGGAAGGCATGGAAAGGCTGCCTCTCAGTGACTTAAATAGGTTACCCATGGCGACATCAGGGCTGTGGTGTGAATCCATCAAGCAAACCCTTCCTTATTTGCCACAGTTATTTTTGGTTCCTCTCTTGTTGAGCATAGTAAGAGGGTGTTTTTTTTAGGAGGTGAACTCAGAGGCCAACATACATAGAAACCTACTGTTGTGTTTGCATAAGATGCAGGATTTCTGCTGTATCATTAAACCATTTTCCTGGGTTCTTTGGAAGCTGATCTGATGAAGATTAGTAATAGTCACCCAGCCCATTAAGGTCACAAAAGGGGCTAGCAAAACTTGGTTTGCTGAATCTGCTCCACAAATCAGTTTGAGAAGTTATGCTCCAAACCAGAGATGCCCAGGGCTTATGACAGCCGGACTAAGAAGGTGCGGAAACATTGGCTTGCAAGCTTGACCAATTCTCTTCCTAGCTGGGAGAGTGAGTCGGTGAGAGCTAAGCACAAGCCTTCCCAAGGCATGAAACAGGCCCTGCCACGTAGGTCATCTTTTCGTCCTGTTGCTCTCCAAGTGACTACAAAGTTGGAGCTGGGCGATAGGCAGGCATTGTTTACAGTGAAAACAGAGCGCTCTGCTTTCCCCAAGCAACCCCCAGTGAAGAGTGTGACCTGCTTGCAGGAGTCAGGGCCGTTTGCGAGGAGAGAGAATTCCAGCTATCCTTCTGCTGCACAGGGCCCTGGGGCATCGCCCCCCTCCCCCGGTTCATCCCTGCGTGCTTGAGACCTTGGGAAGATGGAAGGAGCGTCAGTGGAAAAGTACAGAATTCTCGGCCCGTTCCTCACTTCTCCTGAATTTCAGGTTTTAACGCACTTGTCTTAAGCCAGCCTCGCTGAAACAAATGGCTAATGGAAAGTATTTGTTTTCAAAATTGGTTTTTAGTAGCCAGAAAGGATTCCCGTGCTCAAAGGGCCTCTAGTTTCTGCAGCTTCCCTACGTGCTTGGGGGAGGCTTTTACGACTTTTGGAGCAACCTTCATGGCTAGTGGTTGCATTCCTTACGATGAAGAAAAGGAGAAGTGGAAAATGTTTGCTTCTGAAGGTGTTCTTCACGTTTTGACAGATTGTAGTTCCCAGCTTACTTAAGGGATTTAAGTGGAGTTAATTGCATACAGTGTTGCCTGAATCTTCCTTATAATTCCTGCTTTAAAGTTATACTTGGGTTTTGAAAGTTGCTTAACGATGTTCACTGGTCCACGAGGCTGCTGTCCTTTTGCTCTTATTGAGTCAGTCTTTGAGACTGAAAGAGTAAATAATAGCTTCTCTGGGCTATCGTGATTTATGAGGTATAGTCAGCTCTCTGAATCTGCAATTAAAGAATGAACTGTTCTTGCATAAATGAAGCAGAGAACAAGCAAACAAAACTTTCGCTGTTCGGCTGAGTATACAACGATTTTTATCCCCTCGATGCCTCCTTGGTTCAGATGCAGGCAGGTGGAGTATTAAAATTAACTAGTTGATTAAATTGAGTATATAAACTATGCATTTTAGGGGATAAAAGTAAAAAAAAGTATGTCAAACATGTCTATTCCAGGTGTATGTTTAAGGTTTTGTTTGTTTGTGTTTGCTTGCTTGCTTGGCAACATTTGTGTCCTGAATACAGGGACACACTATGGCCTTCATTGAATCAATAATGTTCCAGAGAGCTCTGAACGAAGTTGCCCTTTTTTAAGCCAGTTAGCTACAAAGCAGAGTTGGGTCGGGTACTTTGGAATGTTTTGCAAACACTTCCTGTTTTATTTCAATAAGGCAGAGAGTTTAATATGTCCTAATGCAAGATAGTTGAGCAAGAGATTGTCTGGAGGTTTGGTAACACAGATGTTGTGCTTGCATTGTCCAGATTGTTCACAATAGCATTTAGGGCAAGGGTGTCCAATCTTGGCAACTTTAAGATTTGTGGACTTCAACTCCTGGGGAAATGGCTGGCTGGGGAATTCTGGGAGCTGAAGTCCACAGGTCTTAAAATTGCCAAGGTTGGACATCCTTAATTTAGAGCCTCAGTATGAAGCCTGCAGCTCCCAAATTTCTGCTCAGCCCAGGTTTTTGGCTACACAGCTTGAATGAAACTCAACGTGCTAACACCTCCACTTTCTAAATTCGTTCAGCAGGGTGTCCAGTCATTGTGTAAAGAGTCCCTGTACCGAACTGGCTGTGACAGACTCCCAGCAGCTGCCACTTGTTCTTCCCAGAGGAGCTGTGAGTCCAGGAAAGCCCCCAGGTTGAGCACTTGTCCTCTCTGGGGCCAATAGTGAAGAATCTCCCAAACAGCCCCCACCCTCCGTCCTGGCAGGACTGGGTCTCTTCTTCCCTGTCCAGGCCTGAGCAGCCTTCGGATCCTGGATCATGACCTTGGCAGCATCCCCGATGGTCCAAATGCATTTGCCCGCTTGGCTTCTTTCCTCTTGATCCAGAGGGCAGGGCTGCGTTTTTCATTGCAAATAAACGAATGGAAGTAACGTCTCCTGTGACCGCCTGCTATTATTTTCCATCATGCTGACCCTGGAGGATGGGGCAGGGATTAGTCCCAGGTGATTGAGGCCTCTCCCCCAGGAATCCAGGCCTCTTCCAGTTGGGCCCCCCCATTCCTCTGGCTGCAGTTTGTGCTCCTGGGGCTGCTGCTTCAGACGCCACTCCTAGTTAATACCCTTTTCTTGGTGTTTCCAATAAGGTGTTTTCATTTTTTAAAAAAAAAAAAACATTTAAAAATGCATGTGAATTTTGCAAGCCTTATTTTAAAATGAGCAAATTGTAATTTAGCATTTGGGAAATCGTTTCCTGTGGCACATCCCATCTGCCATAAACTTGGCCTCAGACCTGATGGGAAAGGGCTGCCTGAATTGCTAAGTGGCCCTACACTTTGTAAGATCCAGAGAAGCGTCAAGTGGGTTTTCTTCTCTGTTTCCGTAGCAGTGTGTAAGGTCTGCAGTGGTCCTACTCTGCACCCCAAGAAAACTCGGCGTGGAAATTTGATTTTATTCTCTGTGTGTGTGTGCCTGTAATCTACCTTCCCCAGCCTTATGTTGAATTGCAACTCCATTAATCTCCAGACAGTATGTTGGTGTTTATCTACTTGACTCTTTGTCGTACTGTTAAGAGGAAGCCCACATTGGGCAATGCGGAGATATTAGCATAATTTCAGGGTTGGAATTGTTTGAGGGCTTCTTCACATATCTACAGCTCTCTGCTCTCTCCATTCCTTGAATAGCAATGTGTTTGTGTGTTTTAATCTCAGAAATACTTGGTTGACTTGTTGCTCCTCATGAATCAGATTTCCTGTTTTCCTCCTCCTCCTTCTCCTCCTCCTCCTCCCTTCTCAGTGATTTCTGCTGATGGTTCAACAGGATCTCTTCTGGCTTTTGTTTCAAAAGCACCCAATTGTGTAACGCGCCTTGAAGTACGCAACGTCGAAAGGCACATGACGAAATCATCCTGTTGGAGGAAGGCAGGTCCGCTGATGGGGGATGGGCACGCCTGAGCTCCTTGGGCCATGATGGGACGGCAGATGAGGTTCCTCAGGAATCCGAGCTGCATAAACTTGGCCAATAATCCCTGTTCTCCCATAGCTTTTCTAGAGAAAAATTCTCCTGAAAGCATCTTAGTCCCTTTGGTAAACTAACTGTAAAGTTGGAGAGTCAATCTCAGCGTTAGGATCAGATTCACCAATTCTCAGCTTAAGCTTTCAAGTTCTAGAAGCCCTGCAGTGATTAGAGGAGAACGCAGAAGAAGGAAAAAAATGAAATGAAATAAAAAACACACAAACCAGCCTTACCTTCAAGTGAGACAATCCTATTAAAGTTAACTTTTAAAAGAGGACCCGGTCACCACGGTCTCTTGGCCTAGGCAGCTAAGCGTGTTCCCTGAATGAAGAAAAGGGAGATGGGGACTTCAGGACAATTGTCACCCTGGCATGAAGAAAACTAGTTTGCGTGCTTTAGAGAAATGACACCGGTTCCCTCTTCTTCCTTCCTGAAAGACATTTTACGTTCTGAATCTCAGCTTGATTCTTTTTTTTTTTTCCCTGCAGAGCTTTATGTTTAGACAGTTGGAAGGCAAGGAAATTCCTGGGACTCTTCCAGGGCTCCTTGCTGTCCTGTTGATACGCTTTTCCTTTTTTTAAACTAAGGCAGGAAAGATCTGAGGTGTGTTCTTTTGCATATGGACTTTTATGCCTAATGCCCAGTTTTATTGCATCTGTTAACTGTCTGCCGTGTATGTTTGCCCCTGATAGAATGAAAGATAGGATTCTTTCATTCTAGGAATGAAAGATAGGAAAGATAGGAAACAAATCTTTTTGATCTCCCCCCCTCCCCCCCTTTAAACACAGCCTCTTTGCCGTATTGGTGTCTGGTGATTTGTGACTTCTAACTCAAGTCTCTCATGAAAGATTTGAGCAATGGGGGTAAGGAAAGCCCAGTTCTTTTCCACCCCCCTGAGGTGTCACGAAAAAGAGGCCATTTAGAATTGAAGGGCAGGGGGGAGGAGAGTTGAGGCTTCCTTCCTGTATCTGGAGGAGACATGGGGGGGGGTCCTCTCTTGCTCCTTTTGTACCACCGGAAATAGTTGGATTCCAGAGCTTCAGGGGGTCCCCTGGCTTCTCTTTGAAATCTGGAGGGGTTTAATTCCAAGTCAACAGATGGGCCATGGGCCATCCGGTGCTTCCCCCTCTCCCCCACCCCCAAAGTGGGATTAGACCTGGAACAAGAAACATTTCTGGCATGTTTTACATTTTCCGTAGAAGAATGCAGGAACTTGTTCTGGCTGTTGCTTTCAATTGGCTTTTTTCTTTTAAAAAAAGAAAAACCTGTGGCTAGTTAAATGCCTTTTATTATCCTGCAAACTCAGAGCTTTCCTGTAGTATCAATAAATTGTGATTTACTTTCCTTACCCACAGAGTATTAAGATATGAATCTCCTTTTGCCCTATGCTCTAATAAGCAGGTAAGTAACTCAGGGGTGTCCAACCTTGGCCTCTACTTGTGGACTTCAAATCCCAGAATTCCCCAGCCAGCCGTTGAAGTTGAAGTCCGCAGCTCTTAAAGTTGTCAAATTGGTTGGACACCCCTGGGGTAACTTGAGTTAACCCTCAGGATTAAAGTTATGATAAAACACTGTTTCCTGCTCTTTGTTTTGGAGTTTTGAATGCTGAATTGTACCCTGTTTCCCCTAAAATAAGACCTCCCCTGATAATAAGCCCGATCGGGCTTTTGAGCGCATGCACTAAAATAAGCCCCCCCCCTTGAAAATGTTTAAACGCACGCGCAGCCGGTCCCCGCCATTTCTTCTGGTTTCCTCCACGTGTCCCAAAATAATAAGACCCCCCCCCCGAAAATAAGGCCAAGCGTTTATTTCAGGGTTCAAAAAAAATAATAAGAGACGGGGTCTTATTTTCGGGGAAACACGGGTAGTAATCTGGCTGTTGCGGAAAACTATAAACACTTATTACTTCTCCGTACATGGGCTCTCTGTATATACATTTATGAGTATGAAAAGACTTAATGAAAAGAAAGGCCTTGTCTCTAAAATTGGGGAGCCCTAAGCTCTATCGTGACTTTGGAAAGTTACGCATGACAAGACCCGCTTAGGATTTGGAAACCACAAGTTAGAATTTCTGAAGTCAGTGGTGGATCACTTACTTCTATAAAGAAAACTACCTTAGTTGCTCCTTTAATGACAGAGCCTAGATGGTGTTAGAAATGAGGGTTATGGCCGTTGGGGATCACAACTATTGTGAGCATCTAAAGCTGCTTCTGAGATTGTAAAACGCTTTGGCCAAGGACAGAGCTAAATACAAGCTCCCATTTGCCATAAGGTGGTTTTGGGAAGAATTTAGCTTCTAATCTGCACATGCTTCACCCCACCCTCAGCCCCCCCCCCTTCACTGCTCCTAGCCCTGCCTTCCGTCTGAGTCCCAGGCTCCGTTGTTCCGAAGGCCAGAAAAGGCAAGTGCTTTTGAGGTGTGACACAGTGGCTGCATCAGCCATATCAGGAGGCCTAATTGCAGATACGGCTTCGCATTCTGGGATTTTCACCAAGCAGCAGCCACATAAAGTTTAATTTTGATTCGTGCTGCAGTTGCAACTTCAGGGCCCTGTGGAGACCCCGTTTCTGCTGAGTTTTCACTTTTCCTGGGCGATTCATCAGTAAAGTAATAATCCGCCAGGGCCTCTTTAAAGAAGGCTAATTCCCTGCTAATGTAAAGCTTTGCTTTTAATGAAAGCAATTTGTCATGTACTTTCTATATTTACCAAATGATCTATCTTACCTTTTCTGCCTTGCCCGATGGCCACTTGACAGACGTCCTGCCGTCTTGACGGAAGAGGATCAGAGGAGGGTAGAAAGACCCTCGCCCCAGCCAGTGGCCCAGCAGCTGGTGCCCTTGCGTATACCTCTGCGTGCCAGGGTTCTCGGCCCTAGGATGACTTCCCTGTGGGGTCTGGGATTTGGGGAGCTAGCCAGAGTGTGTGACGCAGAGCAACAGATGGCCCTACCTGGAGGAGAGGAAATGATTTCAACAGAAGTTGCTTCAAGCCGGTGGCGCCATCTTGTCTGTAGCCATAGTTCAGTTCTCCCCCTGGTCCTTTTATCTGGCAATCCGAGCTGTTCACAGGGTTTTTATCTGGGTCTGGGATGCCTGACCGAGAGCTCTTGAAAGGCCGCTGCTTGCACGTGGCTGCCTAGCTGCAAGGATGTTGCTCTAAATGGGGTTTGGAGTCTCTTTCAGGAGCAGTCTTGGCTGCTGGGTCTGGAGGTGATTTAGTTAGCTAGGTGCCGCTGAGGCGAGCTCAGGTCCTGTGAGCAAATGGACGGTTCCTTCTGTCACGTCAGGAAGGCAGGTCACGTCACGGACAGATGGGATGCCGGAGTTGGATTGGGCCATCTTTCAAAAGGCAAGAAAGCCATTGCCATGGTTACTAATGGGATTTCCCCTCCTTTTTAGGTCAAGCTTCCCAGTTCCTTTCGTACCTTTGATGAGGAGAGGAAATGACTTTATCAGACACTGCTCCAAGTCAGATGATCTTGCTCCGTCTTCCTGTCCGAGGGATTCGCGGAGGGGGAAACGCCGTGGCGGCCAATCCCTGAGGACTTTCGGGAGGAATCTGCCTTGACGGAGGAGCAGGAGATAAAAATGACAACTTCGTCGATCAGGCGGCAAATGAAAAACATTGTGAACAATTATTCGGAGGCCGAAATTAAAGTCCGGGAAGCAACTTCCAATGACCCCTGGGGCCCCTCCAGCTCCTTAATGACCGAAATTGCAGACCTGACTTACAATGTGGTGGCCTTCTCCGAAATCATGAGCATGATCTGGAAACGGCTGAACGACCACGGCAAGAACTGGAGGCACGTTTACAAGGCTTTAACCCTTTTGGATTACCTGATCAAAACTGGGTCGGAGCGGGTGGCCCAGCAGTGCAAGGAGAACATCTTTGCCATCCAGACTTTGAAAGATTTCCAGTACATTGACCGGGATGGGAAAGACCAGGGCATCAACGTGCGCGAGAAGTCCAAGCAGTTGGTCTCCCTGCTGAAGGACGATGAGCGGCTCAAGACGGAGAGGGCCCAGGCCTTAAAGACCAAAGAACGCATGGCTCAGGTGGCCACCGGAGTGGGGAGCAATCAGATCTCCTTTGGCAGAGGCTCCAGCCAGCCTAACCTGTCCACCAGCTACTCTGAGCAAGAGTACGGCAAATCTGGAGGCTCTCCAGCTTCCTACCATGGGTGTAAGTGCACGTCGTGGGCTTTGGGGTTCTTCCACACTCTGTGCCTCTTCCAATTGGTGGGTGGATAAATAGAAATGTGGGTCTCTGAACCAGCTACAGGGACCTGGTGTGTGGCCCTTGCTTGGCCGGTGCTTCCACTTTAAAGGACGTTCTCATTTGGAGGTTCTCCGGAACAGGATGACAGCCCTGAGGTGGGATTGGAAATAGTTCTCCCATCCTTCCCTTCCTGCAGGGGTTCCATCCCACTTAGTTATAATTTTGAGTCTTGTTCTCTCGAAGAGAATTTTGTTGCATCTTTAAAGACTGAGAAATGTGTCATTGAACTGTTACAGCTGCAAGGTTGTACTACAAGAAGGCTCAGGCAGCTAAAATATCCTCTGGGAAGTTGTTCATTTCTCGTCTCGGGGAACCTGACCTGAAGGGCTGCTCAGAGTTGACCTGTGGAAATTTTGTGAAAGAGCAGACCTCGGTTTTTGACTTCCTTATAGTTTGGGAATCCGAAGGTTTCTGGAAGCGGCCACAAAGCAGGTCTCGGGGTGTCAGCGTTGGATCTACTCAGTGCCATCTTGCGCAAACATCTGGGTTAATGATCAGGCGCTTTGTAGCAGGATAACAAAGGATCCCTTCATGGGTTACAAGGAAACGGTTTAGGCTGGATCATTGGGAGACGAGGCTTTCACTGCAACGCTGGGATGCTTCGCAAGTTTAAGAAATTTCAGGGTTGGCCGGGATGGTGATTGAGCTGTCATTAATGGCCTCCTAATGACATCAGGGATTTAAATGTGGAGTGAAAGAGGGAAATAGGTCGCTTCAATTTGCAGGCACAGTTTTATAAAATTTAACGGCAGCTTCCCCGGGGAAGTCAGCGCATCTTAATCTGAAATTCTGCTGTGACTTTAAATCCCTGAGAAAATTTAAGCATGCCTCAAAAGCAACTTGCAGTTAGCTGAATGTGGAAACTAAGGGAGGTGAGCTGTCCTAACCAGATTTACTCAGGTCAGCCATGCTGAATTCTGAGGGTTTTGCTCTCTCTCCTCGGTGTGCATGGAATGGTCATGATCAAGTCTTCCTGGTCTGGATCCAGGGAAGGATTAACATTTCACTTTGTTTGACTTTGCGCCCAAACGAATGTTTCCTGGACCGAAGCAGGCCTGGGAAGCTGCCTGTTACTGTCCTGTACTTATTAGGAGAGGAAGCAACATACCAGGGAGATCGTAGCTTTGGGGCAATATTTCTTTACGTAGAGACCTTGGATTGTCTAGTTTGCCCTTCTAGCTTTACTTACAGAAGATGTCTGGGAGTGAACCCTGGGAATTTCTGTACATTATTCTGTACATTATTCCAGGGAATAATGGCATACAGTGGGGTGCATGTCAGCATAGCAAACCATTTCCAGCCATAAGAGCCTCACATGCTGTTGCAACTTGCTAGTGCCACCTGATGGGGCTTCATGCCTGCATCCTTTGCTGCCTTAGAGGGACAGCAGTTCTGTGTTTAGGGTGAGGCCAGTTCAGGGTCTGCCTTCAAGAGAGTCGGCCTCAATCTTGAAAGAGTCTGGCCTCCGGGTTCTTACCTAATCAGACCCCCTTGGCACCCCGCCTGACTTTCAGATCGCTCTCTATGTGCAGCCGGTTAAATGGAAAACCTCAGCCTGCCCATCCTCTGATCCTTTTGGGGATAGTTCAAGTTAGAGTGGACAACCATCTTTGCAGTCCCCTCCTCCCACCCCCAAATATCTGTGGCTGTAAATCTCATGTTTAATTTTCCTCAGCCGGATTTCAGTTTTATCAGTCTTCAGCTGGCTCTTCTTTGGCAGTTTACAATTCTGGGTTATCTGTTTTTTACTGAAAGGATGGTTGTTTTGAGTTCTAGTCTGTCTGCCTGGGGCCCTTACCATTAAAAGGTAGATGAGAGGAACCGTGGTTGTGGAAGGGTAGCTGAGCCTGGGAGGACAGCTGAGGTGGAGAAGAGGAGGTTTCAGCAGCAGAGCTGCTCAGAGAGAGCCAAGCTTGTGCCTGTTTCCCCCTCCAGCTACATCACCGAGAGTGTCTTCAGAACTGGAGCAGGCCCGGCCTCAGACCAGCGGGGAAGAGGAACTCCAGCTGCAGCTGGCTTTGGCCATGAGCAGAGAGGTGGCAGAACAGGTTGGTTTCTCCCAGAGCGACAGCATCACCTGGTACACTTTGGGTTGATCTGCTGTCTACCCCAGAAAGGTGAAACGAGGAAAAGGCCTGAGAAGAGCACAGGTAGGAACCTGTTGAACTACAGCTCTCGGCTCCTTCCCCTTCTAGTTTTGGTTGGTCGGATTAGCAGGGGGTAGGTTCTGCAACCTTGCAGGGGCCCTGTCGGCGCCGCCCCAATTTCCCTATTAACTGAAAATCGCTCCTGAAAACCTGCCTCCCAGCTTGGCTGTCATGGTTAAGCAAGGAGCTGACGATCCGTGGCAGCGTATGACAGCTGTTAGGAGTTACACATGATCAAAGGAAAGCTGCAGAATCACCCCGTTGGACACTCTGGAGCTATCAGTCAAATCCTGAAGCAAAACCTTTGCAGGTCCACGATCAGGTCTTAACAGGGGCTTCTAAAACATTACATTGATGAGTATGGAAAATTCGGAATCTCCGAGGCAGCCACGCCTCTGCAGACGACGTGAAGCAGGAGTGGAAAACGGGCATTTTAGCTTCTTCTACATCAGGGCTCTCCAAACTTGTCAACTTTAAGACTTGTGGACTTCTGGGAGTCGAAATTCACAGGTCTTAAAGTTGACAAGTTTGGAGACTCCTGTGCAGTTGTAGATGAAGAGGTAACGAGGCTGTTACCTGTTCTGCAATCTGGCTGGAAGTGTTGGCTGTAGTCTAGACCAGGAAACTCAGGAAAACGACAGGAAAAAAGTGTCAGCAAAGCCCTTCCCTGTCACGCCAAGGGAAGGGCACGGATGAGTCCCCGAGCTCGACTTGCGGCTTTCCTTGAGCCGTCGTGGGACCCTGTTTTAAACTTCTCCCCCCTCCCCCTTTCTGCAGGAAGAGCGCCTGCGCCGCGGCGACGATTTGAGGTTACAGATGGCGTTGGAAGAAAGTCGCAGAGATACTGTCAAATTTCCCAAAAAGAAGGAGGTAGGCGGTTTCCTTCGCAGAGAATTCTCAGAGCTCCCTGGGTGGGTGGGACAGATGAGAAACGGAGCCAGCATTGCGACTTTTGAGTATTTATGTGTGCGTGGAAGACAAGAGGGTTTATCATAAGGCATCTCTTCCGTCCTGGGATAAAAAGCCCAAGCGATCAGCTGAGGGCACCTGAAAGAGTGAAATGGTGCATTGTTTTTGTTCGTTGCGCTCCTGTCTTTCCTTTTTGAAAAAGATGATTTGTGGGTCCTGTAAAATGTTTGTACCCAGCTAAAAATGACCTTTTTCAGCAGCATGCAGCTTTGCTGGACCTCATGGATGCGCTGCCTTCTTCCGCCACCCCTGCCCCCAAAGGAGAGTCCAGGAAGCCCCCAGCTGCAGTCAAGAAAGCCGACCCTTGGGGGGGCCCTCCAGCCAGCACTGCCACCTCCGATCCATGGCAATCGTTCGGTAAGAGCCAGGCAAAGGGGTCTTTCACTGCCCTCTCCCACACAGCCCGTGCAAGTCCCTGAAAGGTTTCCTTTGTAGTTTGGCATCTTTGGGAAGGTAAGGATTTTTGGGGAACATTTTATTCTTAAACCTAGGGAGATGCCATCCATCCCCTGTCCTAAGGTTCAAGGAAACAGGCTTGCAGCTGCGACGCCTTGCGGGCTTTCAACGTTGACTGATTCGATTCATTGATAACAGGCCCTTGTTTCAGCTTGCCAGCTCCTTGGCTCCCTCGGAGGGTGGTGAAGGAATCAGATTTATGTATCTGGATGCTGCTGAAAAGGGTGGCTCAAAACAGAACAGAGGCCTTTAAGTCTCGCTTAGCTGGACCGGTTTTTCAATGGCATTCAATAAGCGCCTTCTCAGAAGAGGGTCTTGTCCTCCAGGGCTGCCATTGCTGCGTCTGCCTGCTTTTGTCATCCGATTCATGAAAGAGCAACTTGTTTGGGAAGCTTCCACTTACGGCAGCCCCGGGCAATTAGCATTTCTTGCATGGAATTGTTGATAAATTTGCAGGAAATGGAGGCAGCGGGGAAGAGATTAGCTGCTTTCTGTGGAAAGCTCTGCAGCCTTTCCTATCTTCTGGACATAGTGACTGGGAGCCTGCACCTGTTTGTAAATCTGAATCAACATTTTAGTAGTTTTTTTTTTTGTGTGTGTGTGTGTGTGTGTGTGTGTGTTTTCAGCAGGCTTCCTTTAAACAGATACGCCAAAACACAACCAACCAACTGAATTTGGGTTCTCATTTTTTAAATCAATGCGCTGAGAAGATGGGATGTGCAGCGACTTGCTATTTTAATTTTGTCACTTAATCATGCTATGCCGATCAAGAAAGAATCTTTTAAGTTTTTTTAAAAGAATAATTAAAAACTCCTGCTAGAATCTAGTTTAGAACGAATGAGTTATGGTAATATGCATGGGAGGGCAGCAAGTAGGTCCAGCTAAGTGGATGCTAAGTGTTTGAGAAGACCGAGAAGGGGTCTTCATGTCTCATTGTTTAACTTCAGCAGAAGCAACAAGATTGCGTTGCCCTGTTTGAAATCCCACGTTCGGAATGTAGGATTTCTCTTGTGAAAAATGCTCCACAAATTTTGGTTTAGGGTTCTAAACGTCGTGTGTTTGCGATTCGCATCTGGTCCTGTTGGTGAGTTAGGATTAGGGTTAAATAGATAAACCCCTCAGAATTGAAGTTGCCCTCTCGTTAGTCACACGTCGACTGTCGGATTTAGGTCTGACTTTGCTGTGAAGCTTCAGGGCTTGTACATCCTTTGCTGCAGGTGCCAAACCAGCCACCTCTGTCGATCCGTGGGGAGCCCCTGCGATCTCCTCAGCTGCCCAGCCTCTCCCAAAGAGTGCCGATCCTTGGGCTCCTTCCCAGCCATCGTCCGTGGCAACAAAGGCAGCCGTGGACCCCTGGGGACCAGCACCAGTAAACAAGCCAATTTCTGCTTCTGGTAAGTAGGATGCCCACTTTCTGTTATCTTTTGGAGGAACCTGTTTTATCGGTGACGAGATCTAAGGCATCTTCTCTGGCGTGTGGGTGAGAGAGAAGTGGCTGGAAGTGGGACAGAATGATCTTCATACAGATGCAGTGGTTAGAAAGACCACAGCCCAGCTCAAGTGATGGGAATGTTTTTTTTAAAAAAAGTGAAAGATGATCGCTGTCTCCCTTCAGCAAAGGAGAAGCTTTTGTTTTATCCTCCAGACATTCCCTGGACAGACGACTTCCTCATTTTGGGGAGTTTTCCTAGGACACGGGCATTCCTGTGTCAGGAATCCTATCAGTTCCTCCATTCTTAAGGCTACTTGGTAGCTTGGTCTGTTTCTTGAAAGAAATCCACTTTAATCTGTCTCAGGAGCCTGAGAGGCTCATATGCTGGGAATACACTCCTGAATTCTTGGGTGGGCTGAAGGGACACAGCAGAGGCGTCCTGATGAAGCAAAGTAGGTTAGGGCAGGGGTCTCCAACCTCGGCAACTTTAAGGCTTGTGGATTTAAACTCCTAGAATTACTCAGCAGCATAGTGTAACTGTCCACTAGATCAGGTCTCTTCAAACTTGGCAACTTTAAGATTTGTGGATCTTAGCTCCCAGAATTCCTCAGCCAGCTATTCTGGCAGTTGAAGCCCACAAACGCTAAAGTTGCTGAGGGTGGAGACCCCTGGATTAGGGCATCCTGCAGGGGCCAAGAGCTGGTGGCTCAGCCAAACACGGAAGGGCCCAGATCCCAGCCTCTCCAGTCAGGGTGGCCAAGATTCTGGGGTGGAGTTTTGCAGCTGGGTGAAACCGGTTATCTTGTCCTCCACTAATGAGAGAGAGAGAGTTAACACCTTGATTGGGAGGTGCTAGCGGAAACAGTATTTTTCTAGGATTATGGAGGAAGAGTCCTGGCTGTGGTGGCAACATTCTTTTTTTGCATTGCAGGTAGCAAATCTTTCGACCTCTTCAGCAATTTGAACGGGACGATTAAAGACGACTTTTCTGAATTCGACACCCTTCGATCTTCTAACAAGCAAGGTATCTTTGAAACGGACACCATAGTTGGGGGCTGAAAAAAAAGGCTTGAACAGCTGGTAGGAAAATGCTGCTGAATGATCTTGATAGCCTTCCCCAAATTAAGAGAAAAAAAAATCACAAGGGAGAACACGACTCCTGTGAACATTTAGGTAAACGAAGTCGTTTATGACAACAGGGCGGCATTCTCCGTGTCAGTGCTTGATGTTTGAGTCCGACTCGGGTTTCAGATTTGAAGAAGCAAGAATGAGTAAAGCAACCACCTAATGTTTAAGGAAAAATGCCTGGCATAATAGGGAATGTGTCCTTTTGAGAGAGAGCTTTTTCAAGAGCCGCATTTTCCTTTCCCGCGATTCAGGTTCTGCTTTGTCGGCCCAGAACAGTGGGACCACCAGCCCTGACTTCTCAGACTGCCAGCCAGCCAGCTTCTCCTCCAGTAAACAGAGCGCCGCTCGGAAAACCCCCGAGTCTTTCTTGGGCTCCAATGCTGCTTTGGTGAATCTGGACTCCTTGGTATCCAAGCCCCCCCAGCCAGCACCATCCCTCAACCCTTTCTTGGCTGCAGGTACGTCTTCGCGCTGAGTTTGCACTTCTTGTTTCTTTGAGAGCGGAATGGCCGAAGGGGGAAAACGGGCACGTTAATGGATCTTGCTCCCTTGAAGGTGGACAGTCTGCGTTAATGTTATTTGAGTCAGTGCAGCAACTGATTTCACCACGAGCCTATAGGTAGCTGTGTTTTAGCGAAATAAACGTTTTGCATGGTAGGGAACAGGACCCAAAAACACAAGGTGGGTTCTTGGGGAGTCAGTTGAACAACGTTAAGATGTGTGGACTTCAACTCCCAGAATTCCCCAGCTTTGAGAAGTTGCTGAGGTTTCTCAACACTGCTCTAGAGTCTCTGCTCAGTGGAGGTTTGGGGGGGGGGATTGCCTGGGAGGAAAGGTTGGGGTGACTCTAGCCAGTGAGAGGACCGTGGTGCCATGTTTCATTTCCATCTAGACCAGGGGTCTCCAACCTTGGCCACGTTGAGCCTGGTGGACTTCAACTTCCAGGCATAAAGTGGGCATGGTTGGAGACCCCTGGCCTAGACAAGAGTCTCTCAGTTGGGCTACTGGTTAGCTACCAGCACTGGAATCTGAATTCTGTGGTGCTGCAGACCCTCCTCCGCCTCCGCCCCCCCATGTCTTCTGTAGACCCCACTGCTCTCATTCCTGGCCAATGGGCATTGCCTGACCCATCGGTAGGGCCCCTACCTCTGGGCCTTGCATTGAAGGTGTCCCTGCATTGAATGATGCCTTTGTTGCAACTTTGTGCTTGTGTAGCTGTTTGCTGTCAGACTGGAAACCGTGGAAGTCGGACTGACTCTTCCCTCCCCTCTTCTCTGCTCCCAGGATCCTCGTCATCGTCGTCGACTTCTCCTTCTCCAGCCACAGTCAACCCCTTCCAAGTGAATCAGCCGCAACCCCTCACTCTCAATCAGATGCGGGCCAGCCCCATCCTCGGGGGCAGCCTGCCTTTCAATGCTGCGCCAGGGCCGGAACCGGGGCCCCTTCCTTCTGTGGCTCCCGTGGCCCTGGCCCCCTTGCCAGCCGCGGGCCCTGTGACCTCTCTAACCAGGATGGGCCCGGGAGTGAGTGTGGGCGTGATGGGGTCCGTGGCACAGCCTCTCCATCACCCGGGGATGCCCCCCTCGGTCTCTCAGCCGGCCAATGCCACTAACCCTTTCCTCCTCTAAAGGAAGCCTGGAGCGTGAAGCCTCCCTGGGAAAGGCGGGCAGGACATCTGAGGTTGGCTTGGGCTGAACCGCGAGCGCCGGAGATGGGGGTGGCTAGGCTGGTGGGCTGCTGTAGCCTTCTGTGGGAGCTCCTGGTGCCCTCGGCCATTCGCCGAGATGTGCCCTTTTGCCCCAGATGGTCCTTTTTGTTTGGGTTCTCGGCAGCCTTGCAGAAACGCTTTGGCGTTTGTCACCAAAGTCCGTTTCTGCTCCCTCCCCTTCCTCCTTTTTGTTAATCATTTCAAGACTTTGCCATCTGAAAGAGCCCCCTGTGTTTTGTAGACCATCAGCTGCGCTCAAAAGTGCCGCGGCCTGAGCCAGCCAGATCCCGTGCTTGTAAAAACACACCTGAGACTCAAAGAGTGCTAGTGAACATGTTTGCACATAACCACCTGCTCCTCTAGACTGTTTGGTTCACCCATAGTCCTTATCAGTCTTGGCAAAAGAGGTATCTGGCCTTTGTGTTCTGTATATCCTTGCACACTAAAATGTCGAGCAAAACTGTGCCTCCCTTTTTTCCCCCCCCCCCCCCCACACCGCTGAGAATCAGGCAGGGAGGGCCGGGCGAGCTCGTCCACAGGAGGAGAACCGAAGCAAGCTCTGTGAAGTCCCGCAAAGTTTTTGTGAAACCCCGCAAGTGTGCTGTTTTGTATGCAGTGTTGAATTTCTACAACTTAACACGGACTGCCCACGACTTCCGTCTGAATGACTGGCATGCTGCCCTGGTGTTGAGGGCTGGTTTTGGCTCTGTGCTTTCTGATGGTGACTTCATTTGGAAATTAGTTACACGTGCTCTTTTCGTTTGACTTGCAACGCGGGGCTTTCAAAAAAGCATAGGGTGGGGAATACCGAGGTAATACTGGGGGGACTCGGGAACTGATTTGGGGGTGACCTTTTGTTATTATGCAGTAATCCTTGTATACTTTTGCACTTTTAAGGATAGGGCCGTTTTGGATTTGAGTTCGCCAGGTGAGCGTTCTGTTTTCACTCTTGCTAATTTTTATAATGTTCTTATTTAACAGTCGATAGTTTTGATAGATTCATCAGGTTTAGTGGAAAAATTAAGATACTGTCTTTCTTTTCCAATTCTCTTCTTTTTTTGATTTAACGTTTCTTATTTATATATAAATATTTTAGCTCTTGGTTTTCATAAAGAGAATTTTAAAGGGAATATCGACAAACCTTCTGCTTTTGAACAAAGACATTTGTATTGGAAAAAACAATGGAATAGCTCGTGTAACATGAATTTTGAGAGGGATATGGCTAAGGTGACATTGAAAAAGGAAAACACTACAGTTGCCTTTCAGTTTCCCCCTTTTATGAATACATCTCTCCACTTTGTGTAAAAAAAAAAAAAAATACTCCTGGAAGCCTTTGAGAGGTTGAAGATCATGGAAAATAAATGACTTCTCTCTTGTAATACTTTCAGCAACTTAAAAAACAAAACATTGCTGTATGAATGTTACTTTTAATTAACTAAACTCTTCTAACTAAAGAATGCACTCCATGGTGTTACTTGGCTCTGTTTACAATCTTCTCCGAAAAGTAAACTTTTGATTCTTTCGGCTCATTTTTTCCCCCCACTAAGACATACTCAGGTTTAAGTAGTTAATAACTGTTTGAAAATTCTTTTTCTTTTGAAATGGCAACTGCAAGAAAGCACGCATAAACACGTGTGTGTGCTTACATACAGATGTTCTCAAAAGCTGGATGAGGTCTCTTGATGCTGGAGACTGGCTGTGTGCAAGAGGGACAGCTGTTGGGTGGCTTTTAATAATTTATCCTTTAGAAGCAACATCCGTGCCACGAAGCCTCTTTTGGGTGAGCGGACTGTGCCGCTGGGGGTCATGGTAAAAAAGCTGTTGGGTGGCTTGAAAGAGGCAAGAGGGGTCCTTTGCTGGTGACCTTGAAGGAAGATATGATAATCCACGATACCAAAGTGACAGGCAGACATTGTGCGGTTAATATAGACAAGCAACAGCTTTCCAATTGCCAGCTGCCTCCACTTCTCGTTTTGTTTCCTTTACCTTGTTGCACAGTTGTTGTGTTTGATTCCTCACAACAGGTCATTTCACTCTGAGTAGCCATGAACACCCTAGAGTGGCCTTCTCCACCCAGGTCTTCTTGCAGCTTCTGCTCTTGCCTTGTGCGGCCAGCATGGTTTTTAGAGTCCCTGCAGAATTCCTGCTTTGAAAAACTGATTTAATTTTGTCCAAGTGGGAAAAACAGCTCCTCCTATGGAGCCAACCCAGGTACAATATGCTAAATAAGTATTTTGTCTGCAGTCCACAGGAAAGTTGTTGTCTGGTTATTTTTTTTTTCTTATGTAGCCAAAGGTTTTAAACGGCTTAAACATGCCACCTTTCTGGTGTTGCTTTCCTTCCAATTAACGTACACTAACAACATTAACTGTCCCTTCTCCTCACTTCCTATCCCGCCTTCCTTAAAGTGACCTAAACTTCAGAATGCTCCTAAAGAGGCTTTCCAGTTTTTTAAAAAATCTCCTTAATTCAAGGAAAGCGATCACACCCTCCCTATTTCTTTCATCTCCAGCTATTTCCTAACGCCTATTTTGTATGGAGTATGGCTGAAATATCTAGCCTGACTTGGTTTCTGCAGCAGAATCTGTAGGGAAACATTTTAGAACGACTTTCTAAACCATTGGGAATGGGCTATTTTGGATACGTGGTGTCAAATTTTTTATTTTCTCTACGGCTGTCATTTATCATTTGTACCATTGTATCATATAATGTTCCCTTATGGCAGAAGCGTAATGGTCACTCAGCCGTAGAAAGGTGGGGCATGTCAGGATTCAGTGTCTTGTCAGAATTAAACACATATTGCTCATATATTTCCAGACTGTCGTGACTTTTCAAACACTAGCTGAGATGTTCCCTCCTCCGGCAAAGGCTTATGGGTGTTCTTTAAAAAATAAATAAAATACCTTTGTGCCATTGGCATGCATGACCCTTGATGGGTTCCCCCAATAGACTTCCAGTCCTGAAGGGTCGTGCAGAGGGGAGCTGGCTGAGAATTATGGTCCTTGCAGTCCAGTATATCTGGAAGACACTAATTTGGGGCAGGAGGGATGACAATTTAAAGGCATTGGTGGATGTCACCATCCTTCTGAAGGATGGTGCCCCTCTTCCCTGGTGGCCCTGATGACCCAGGGAGATTTCTCCCTGTCCTTTGCCACTTTGGCTGATGTGCCCCTGGCCTTCTGGATGGAAGTTGGTCAGTTTGGATGTGAGGATTCTGGTTTTGTTCAGCATCTAGATTCCTGGGTGAAGTTTTCCTAAGAAAACTCTGTTCTGAGCACTTGATGGACTGGGATGTCACAGCCAAAGTTTGCGAGAGCTGCACCCTATTTCACCAGAGGGCAGAAGAGCCTGGCACCAATCAGCTCCAGCCCTGCTTAGACATTTTGGGTTTTTTGGAGGCTAACCAAAAATCAGCTAGATGCTGCTTACTGCCAAAGCCCGCAAGAGAAGGACAGAAAAGGGTGGCGTGGAATGTGGTTGTTCTGATCCTTTGAATAACGGGTCTGCCTGCTCTCCCCCTGCAAAATTAGTTTTGCAGGGTTTAAAAAAAAACAAAAACCAAGCATGAACCAAACTGTTGATCAAGCCATCTGTTCCTAAACCTGACATAGCAGCAGCCAATGTGCCCCCCCCCCCCCCGAGTTCTGGCTCTTCCTGTTCTCCCAGCAGAACATTTCATCACTTGTCCTTCTAGATTTGCACACAGCTCGTTTTGGGAATGTGCTTTATGCACTTCTGTGATAGTTCTTCCAACCTTGTGATAATTCTGCCTCCAATTTAACTCTTCATCCGTTCAGACAGCAAATGGAGCCTTTGATCAGGCAGCTGGCCTGCTCTTCCTTAAGCGGGAAACGTACTTCCATCTCATCTGCAACCAATGAGGGAGCAATTAGATTAACGTTCTGGCTTTCAGCAAAGCAATTTTCTTTACTTTGGAAAGCTCAGTCGGCAGACATCACCCTCGGAGTCCCAATTCTGTTCCTTAATCTGCTGGTGACCTAGCTGGCCCAGAACTTTCCATCATTTTGTGGGGTGGTGACATGTTGGTTAGTGCTAGAAAAACATGTTAAGTCCTCAAAAGGCCTGGCAGAAGCTTAGACAATATCAAGGAGCAAGTCATGGGAGAGACCACCTCAGTCTGAAGTCATGGACTGTGGAGCCCACATGAATTTGGAAGTGGCTATGCTTTAGTCTCCATTTCATTTCATGTCCAGGAGAAAACTGGTGGCATTTGAAGAGGATCTCTGCAACTCCTCTGCTTTCTCTGCTGGTCCACATAGAAGCCCTTCTGTGGCTCACTCATAAGCGTGTCTGGTCAGCCCCTTGGCCCATCCTGGATTACCAGCTGCTTCAAATCCTGCTCTTGCTCCCATGCCAGGGATGCCAGGAGAACGGCTCCTTTGAAGGTTTAATTCACGAGACCTCAAGTGTGGAGGATGTTCTGGCATTCCAGAGCTCTTCATCCAGCCAAAGCTATGACTCCTCTTCTCTGGGTCCCTCCCTGGCATTTTGCAAGTTTGTTTTCCATTGTGACATACTGGATTTCCTGCAGCAATCAGAAGTTCTTGAGATGTTCCAAAACTGCCATCACTACTTGGATTTGTTCCAATCCTATCCTCTCAATCCATCCACGTAGGAGGGTGGAGATTCGTTCTCCGAGCTTGTGGGTTGGTTTCTGAACGTTTCATTGCCAGGCTGGGTAACATCTTCAGCAGAATTTATGGGATGTCAATGTTCTGTTTATAAGGGCTTCGTGTGGTCAGTAGGACTTGTGATGGGAGCGTCATGTCAGGTGAGGGTCTTGTGATGGGTTTTATAAGCAGAACACTGATGTCCCCTAAATTCTGCTGAAGACATTACCTGGCCTGGTAACAAAACGTTCGGAAACCAACCCACAAGCTTGGAGAACGAATCTCCACCTTCATCCTCCACCCGAGCTACAGATATTCGCCACTATCGCAAACCATCCACATATTTCAAAGAAGCTACGGCATAAAACTCAAGGCTTCCATTGGCTTGTGAAGTTTGTTTTCAGGAAAAAAGCAGATTTTAATAATTCTTTTGGTAGGCAGAACATAACTGCTTAGACGTTAGCAGAACGTAAAATAATCTGTGTGCACTTTGCTGTTAAAATCTTCAGCGATCCCTCTGTTCGTGATCCTCTTAGCCCACAAACCAGAGAGGAGCTGGAATTTCCTGAAAAGATTGGCGCGATAACCATTATGAGAACAGGAAGTTCCATGCACGTGAGGAAAATAGGTTAATCAAGAGAAGCTCTTGGCACCCAGCACTTCCTTTCTGGGAGATTCTTTTGCAGTTGGTGGCCACAAAGAATTCAAGAAGAATCCTGTTTCTACGCCGACCTGAAAAATGATCTGGTAGGTTGGTTTTTATGGCCAAGAGAAGAACTGAGGCAGCCTGGGATTCCAACGAAAACATTTTTAATACGGTCAACTTTGGTTGAGTTTATGTGCCCTCCCTCTGCCTCCAGAGTGGCCCTTCTTCGTAGCAGGTCAACTTCTAAAACCAACCGTTCTCCCCTAGAGCTTTGCTTGCAACGTAAGACGTATATTGTATATTCCTCTTTGGAATTATCCCAGCAGTAAATTTAACACCCACATCTGTCTCAGTTACTGCAGTGGGTAGCCTGTTAAACTTTTACTGTTCCCAGGGTTTGGGTTTTTTTTTTTGCCAAAATAGGTTGAGGCGCAATTACTTTGAGGAACTTCAAGCGTAGTTGGGCCAGCCAAGCCAGAAAGCAGTGGTGGAGGGCTTCTGCCCCCACCCCTCCGCCCGTAGGCAGTCTCTGGCCTATAGGTAGGGAGGGGAGACTTGGGCATCCCCAGAGCCTTCTTCCAAGGTTGGATGCAGAGTGAAGGGTTCCTTCTGGGAACCAGAGGATGTCCCGTTCTCCCTGTGGCCCTTGGGACACGCCCAGCAGCCATTCACAGCCCTTACTGGGAGGGCCAATTTCGAGAAGATTAGCGGAGAGAGTTGCAGTCTCGGAGGGTGGAGCAACTTGGGTTTCTCCAGGCTGGGGCTCCCCCTGCTGAGTGAATTCTGACTTTTAACAAGGCTGTTGGGTAGCCCAGAGCTTCACCAGATCAGCTTTTATCGACTGAATCGCTTTTTCAGCTCCCTAAAAAAGTACTCCGTTTGATATTTTCCTGCTGCTACGAAACAACAAACAGGCATGAATCAGGGTTTAACAAAACAACAATTGTTTGCATCAATTGTCTTGCATCAAAGACTGTACAGAAATCTGTTTTGTCAGGAAATGAACTAATTTATTTGGAAAACTACAAATTCCTAAACGGAGTTGTATTTTAAACTGAAAATCAAAAGTCCACGGTCCAAGACCTTTACGGGGATAAGAGATTCTTATAAAACCTGTAACTTAATAAAAAAATTAAACCAGCGTTTTTGTTTTAAATCCTATTTGACATACTGAAATTAGAAACAACTTGCACAGCTTTTATCTCATTTCTTCTTCTTCCTTATATACCCACAGACATACAGGCTATTCATGCAAACTATGAGAATACCTTGGTAAAATGGGGCAATGTCAATGGAAAGTCTCATTTCTCATCCAACCCCTCCTGATAACACTAATCATGTCTTTCTCTCTCTGTGTGTGCAAGTGTGTGTGCACACGTGCAGAAACAGTTTCTACTTGTGGCAATCATCGAAAGTCAGGGATGCCTTGCTGGCCCACACAGCAAGTGCCCCTAAAAGCAGAGCATTGGCCCACTGCTCGTCTGCAAATGGCTTATCGTAGCCACAGCTGGCCACCAGACACCCCCACTTTGCAAGCCCCTCAGGCACTGTGATTTCTGCACATCTGCACTGGTTTGGTCTGGTCTGGCTTCTCCTGGGTTGACACAAAAACATTTTTATATGATAACCTTGGTCATCTCCGAGTTGCGTCTTGCAGGACAGCATCAACCCAAAATTGCTAGTCTAGAATTTACGCATCGCGTCTGTCACTGAGGTTAGTGAGGAGCTGGCGAGGGTCGGCGAGCTGACGTCGTATCCCAGCTTCTTCATGTCCTTGGTCACCACGTTGAAGGAAACGGTGACGAAGCCTTGCGAGCGAACTCTGGTCACTGAAAAGGAGCAAACGGAGGCTTAGCAAGGTTTTTACAAAGCAACCCCATTACTAGTGAAATGGATCAGACCCAAGACGCTTCTTGTTTGGGGCTCTGTGGCTAATAGCTGGCATGGAGCACAAATGCATGACCCTCTTCTTAAGGCTTGGAATTCTGCAGCTGAGTTCCAGCTGTCTTCTTCACGACATCCCTTGCTTTCTGCCCATCCTAAACTACTTGGCGGCTGGCAGCCCCTGACAGAAGTAGGAACAGCCTCAAATACGCCCTGACTTGGCAACATTTGGGCACACATTCTTCTCTCTGGATCCAAAGGCAGCTTTGCCCTCCAGAACGCACCAGGCATAAACACAGAGCACCCCCAAGTACCTACCTTCACGGCCTTCGCCCTGGGCTACCACTTTGGGATCAGTGAATTCTGGATACCTGCCCGTCAGCCAGCTGGGAGAAAGGCAAAAGGGAAGGCTGAGTCAAGTCATCCCACCTGGGGCTTATTCAACCAAAGTCCTGAGGACTTCAGGCCAACAAGTGCCTATTCAGCTCCCTCCATCCTGGAATTTCTTCTCCCCGGTATATACATATATAAATCACCACATTCTCCACCAAAATGAATATTCATTAATCCTCTTTCACTGGCGATTTTCCCTGAAAAAGTGCAAGGGACGGAACTTGAGGGGAGTGAATGATGCAGAAGCCCACCAGCC